TCCTTTCTTTTCTGCCTTTCCTTTCTTTTCTGCCTTTCCTTTCTTTTCTGCCTTTCTTTTTCTCCTTACTGGTTAATTTAAGTGTTTTGACTGTGCTGCTGGGAAGTGAGTTGTGTATGAAGAGCTGCAAAGCAGCAAACAGGTGCTCCTATGTGTAACGATGGGAAATGGCATCCTCAGGAGCTATTCCTGACGTAAAGCTGTGATTGCTAAGAACTTGTAGCTTGGGAATTCGGTGAAAAATATTCAGGTGCATAAGCAATTGGCTAAAAATGGTAATTAGTTTGGCTTTCGCTTTTCAAGGCCTCACAGAACTGAGTTATATGAAGGTGTTCCACCAACTTGCTGGCCTATCGTGTATTCTCCAGACTACAACATCACATTCATGGGACTGGAGAAACTACATCCGTTTGATGCAGGGAAATGGGGAAAAGTAATCAACTTTTTGAAAGGTAAAAAAAAAAAAAAAAAAAAAAAAAAAAAAAAAAAAAAAAAAAAAAAAAGAGAAGATACCACTTAGACCAACATTTGAATGAACCAATGTTATTAATGCAGATTTGTGCTAATAACTGCCAGTGTAATAATAACTGTATGTCATTATTGCTCCTTGTATAGACCTTAGATATGCAATTTAAACACTGAAGTACTTTAATATGTTTAAATATTTGCAGACTTAAATCTCAAGAAGTTAAATTGATGGCAGAATTTGTGAGGTGGGTTGAATGCTGTATTGTACTTTTTTGAAGATGTTGCACATTAAACAGATGAAATTGTTAGAGCAAGCATCCTACACCAGGGCTTTTTAATACAAAGGTTTATTTCACAGTCCTTTGGAAATGTCGGTTCTTGCTTGCTCCACTGAACAAAGCCCAGAATTGTCTCAGTCATGGTGCCTGTGCAGAGTGAAACTCGTGAAATGTGATTGAAAATTCAAGCTCATTAAACAACTTGCTCTTCCCAGCGGCATGAATAATGCTAGTCAGAGTGACCAGCTTGGTGAATTTCATTCTGGCCTAGAACTTTACAAGGCTGATAAAAAGGATTATGGAGAAACATGAGCATAGCAATGTGTTAGACAATCTTAAAATATTTCTGGGCTTTGGGGTTTGAAGACAAGCCTGAACTGTGCAGAATTTCATTGCTTGACCTTTACAAGAAAGGTGCACGTAGGATGAGAACTATTTTCACCTCTGAAGTGAGCACCAGGGTCTTGACTCAAAGCACAGCCTGAGTCAGGTGCCGTATGTGCATAGCACAGTGCTGTGTTTTGATATTCAACAGAGTTGTGGTGATTCTTGCGTTTTCTTGCAGTGTATGTACAAGTCTATGAGAATATTTCCATTAAGTTTCCTCTTGAAGACAGATGCTATTTGCAATTCCAGTTTCTTTCTTTGTGAGGACTACGCCTGGATCTAAAATGAAATGCAGACTTCAGTTTTCTGGCAACAAATGGAGAATCCTTCCTGCATTAACTGCAAGTTTACAGCACAGTGTGGGAGTACCATGAACTTTTCTCTAGCCAGTGTGCTTCCATCGCTTTTACATGTGGTGTAACAAGGAAGGAGACGTTCTGCCTGGCTTGGGAAACCAGGCAGTTGATGACTGCCTTGCTTCAGGCTGTAATGTAGTTACTCATGAGATTGCAGGCAGTCTGCTGGCAAATGGCACTCTTCAGTGTGAAATACCAGTGCAACCTATCTAAATCTTTGTCAACCTCATGATACTACTTTGATAATATCTCTGGGGGAGCTTTGAAATCCCTCTGGCGGCAAGAACTTTGTGTTGATGCTCATTATTGCTTCTTAAATAAATCTAAAAATGTAGACAAATACCTCAAGGAAATGCAAGCATAAGGACTCAGATTAGGGTCAGAGCCTTTAAAGCCTTTATCTAAAATTTGAGTTTTCTCATCAAGTTGGAAGGGGGAAAAAAAAAACAAAAAAAAACAACAAAAAAAACCCCTTGCCAAAACAAAGGCTGTTCAAGAGGCAGGCCTTTGCGGCTCATGTGGACCTAATGACTTCTTCAGCTGATGATCTTTCTCAGTAAAATGTTGCCCTTCCTACTCTAGGCTCCCTTGTATTCATTTAACTGGGGTTAAATGACTTATAACCATTTATTACCTCTATTTGTGACCTCTAATGGTCTTTACTATCAGAGCCTTGGATTCCACGACCATTTTCTTATTCAGAACCTTTGCCTTTGTTTGCTCCTTCCCCTTTTCCAGTTCTTTTCTGTGTGAAATGTATACTCTTCACTCTCATCTTTCACAGAAAACCATTTTTCCCAAACATTTTGCCCTTTTTTCACTGTAAAAGAGAAAAGCCACAGGGTACCTTGTGACATTCCTGTTTTTCTCTGGCTCTATAGCAACTCCAGGGAACACCTGATCGGTGCTGTTTCCTATTATCCTCTAGAAAAATCACCAGTGAAAATCCTCATACGCTTACTTTCTTCAAGAATGAAGCTGTTAGTATGTTGGCTTTATGTCTGATGTGAGTGAATGAAATGCTTCTCAAGTGCAGTCCAGGGAAATGTAAGCTTGCCAAAATAAATATTGTTGCAGGTGCTGTGCTCGTATAACACTAAGAACAAAATCTTTTCCATTTGAGTTGTTCCCTTCCGCCAAGTTTAAAATTGAAGAAAAGGTCTAGTCTTGGAAATCTGCAGCCCTGCAGCAATTAAATATTAAAACTTGTCTGGGAAAATCAGCATTGATGCCTGGTATTTGTTATTTGTAGTGATCCTATGCAAAGCAACATTGTTTTTCTGCACTACTTGACTTTTTTAGTCAACACAGACTGGAACTTTCTGGCAAGTTTATCCAGATGTAAACATTCGCGCTGTTGGCATACAGAAATCTTGGAGTGATACTTTGTAAGTTACTCCTTTAAAAATAGTTTTAAAATAAACTATCTCTTGCTCTCTAAAGGAAAGAATTAATAGCTGTTCATTGGTATTTCTTGAAATTAAATGAAGGTAAGGACGTGACAGAAATAGCAGAATTAACAGTAAGTGTTCATGTCCATAAACATCCAAGTAATTGAATTGTTTTTAGTCTTGATTTTGTGTGCACCATTCTAATTTAGAGTATTTGATACTATTATCAACTGTAGATTTTTTTTAAATCATATTAAAGGAGTATTTATTGGTATGAACATATCAACATATCAAGCATATCAAATCTTAGACTATAAGGAGCCTTGTAAGTTTTCTTGCCTGTCCATTCTCGGTTGCTACCTGATTTTCTTTTAGTTGAAACATGAGGTTACCATGAATACACTATGAAAACTATCTGAAAAAAAATTGATAACCTCTTATTTAGGAGCTTATATGTGTAGAAAGTATGTATTTGGCAAACTTACAAATACTGAGTAAGCAACAATGGTTGCAGTGATTTCCATTACAGATGTAGGAATTAAGCTCAAAGCAGTTTCTTTGACCAGGTGGAATATGGGAATGCAATATGGCATACAATGACAATTATAATTTTTCTCCTGTTGTTTCAGAAGAAAAACTAATTGGAGATGACTTGATTGTGCAAGCACGGGAGGCTACGGATGAAGATCTTTTGGTTGTTCACACAAGGCGCTACCTTAATAAATTGAAGGTGCTGTACTTAAACTAATATGTTTTTCAAACAAAGTGTCTAGAATTAGTACCAAGTGCAGCAGATATTCCACTTGATTCAATATAGAATGAAGTCGTACAGAGCAGTGACAAATTTTGAATTCAGCGTTGTCATTGTGAATACTGAGAGAGAATAATGGAAATATTGGACAAGCCAAAGTGTAGGAGAGGAATCTTATATAGGCATGTTTCAGTGAAGTTTAATGAACATAAGGAAAATAATAATGTTCGAGATGCAAATAATGTTTTCATCAAGAAATTGGTGAAATTGGTATCATCAAGATTTTGGTTTTAAATGTGTTCTGTTTTGCTGTAATGAAGTATGGTTCTGAAATTGAAATCGTGTAGAAGAACCCTGAAATCGATTGTTATGCAATATTTCCTCTTTAATGTAAGGTTTGCTGTATGGATTTGAAGCTTATATAATCTTAGAAGAGCATCCATGCAGGAATTCTATCATCAGCCTGAGGGGTAGAGAAGAAAGAAGTAGAGTTGTACCTAAAGACTGCCTGTATCATAGAGAGTTGAAAGGTCTACAAAGGGCATAATCTTGTATGCTGTGTGTGTAAGAAGGCTTACAATAGCAGCTCTACAGGATTATATATTCACGAAGAACAAAGAGCATTCATTGGCTATTTCTACATAAATGCAAGTTTAACAAATGAATGCTTCAACTGTAAAACATAAGAGATCTTCAGTTTTGAAAATATAGTCATCCACAAAGGGAATTGAGTGGTAGCAGTTAAGATTGCTTTTATTTGGCAGCTCTCTACTTGGAGGGAAGAGATTTGTTGTAAAAATTGTCTGAGAACTGTTGAGTCCTGGCCTAAACCACTGATTGAGCACCTGGGGAAAGAACCTGGTCAGCCTTGGGAGCACAGGTGAAGGCAATTCAGCTGTGTGACAGGAAAGGGTGGTGCCTGGCTGCACCTCTCTTAGACCTCATTGAAGGGCTGATCCCTACTGGGGAAGGATCTCCTCCTGGAGATTGCTCCTTGGTAAAGCTTTCCCCTGTGAACCTGGAATATTCTGATACAGGTGAGCAATCTTCTTCCCTTCCTTTATAGCACCTTTCTATTGTGCCTTCCTTCCATCATCACATCTCTGTTGTAATGCCTTTCCCATTGTGTTGATCTGTCTAATTGCTACAAAAATAATCTTACATTTTGTAATTCAGTATAAGTTATTTTGAATCATCTTTGCCCTTCTACAGTGTAAAATCACTTGTGTTGTTATTTGTGAAGTGTTGATGGTTTTTTTGTGTAAAGAATCTTTGATTTTTCTGACTTCTTCTGCTTTATTCCTTTGCAGTGTTCACTTAGGCCTCTTCATTCATAGCTATGAAGTTATTTGTAATTTCATACATCATTAGATTTGATCTTATTGCTGCTATTCTTGATATTGAGCTCTTAATTTCATTGAACCACCTACCTCTTTTTACTGAGTCACCTCTTTGAAGCAGAATGTAATATGCGTAGCTCAGTTTGAAATACAGTAGTATTTTTAGTACTGGTAGGATCTCTTCACTGAAAATTGGCTGATAACTTGTTTCCTGGTGTTCAAAACCAATATGGTCTTATACTTTCAGATGTTCTTAATTCTATCTCTCTTGTTCCCCTTTATTTGAGACCACAGTTCCTACAGCTGTAGCAATTAGAAGATAGCATATTGGTCTTGTCAACAAACTCTTACTAAGCAGCAAAGATAAGTGTTCACTTATTTAGCAACATTTGTTTACATGAAATGGCCCAGGGTTTCCTGTTTGCTGCCTTATGTAAAGTCCACTGTGCTATTTTTTTTAATACAGACAAATACAGATTTACCAATAAATGATATAGTTTTATGTTATCACCTCCTGAAGATTACAAAGATGCTTGCATTCGGGGAACATCTGGATCTCTTAAAATAATGAATCATTGGAGTACTCCTCATTTAAAATTTCAGCATGAAACACTTGCAATGGGAGATGGTGTGCGATATCTCAGTTGCAACTGAAGAAGCTGTCCTAGGGATGGGCTGGGAGTTGGTTGCAGAGAAACAAAATGTTAAGTGCAAAGTAGATCAAAGAATACTGTCAGTCAATTCTCCCTTAGGAGGAAGATTGCCCGTGGTTGCCTGCTTAAGGTAACATGAACAATTCTTACAACAAAATTTGGTATTTTGAATTGAGGTTACTTCTCCCTCAATACTATTTCATGAACTTAGGTCCATAAGGTAGTGATTAGACTTTGGATAATTAGCTTGTTGTACTTCCCTGCTCCTCCTCTTGTTCCACTGTTATAAGTTAAATCCATTATTTTACCTATCAGTATCCTGAGATTGTGGAAGGGATTAGGCAATGAGGTTAAAACTATCTTCAGACCTTGTAAGTCTTATACTTGAAACTTTTTGATCTATCAGGAGTTTTAGAATGTGAGTGAATACTGAAATGCAAATGATACGGACAGTGTTTGTTGTCAGCCAAATGCAAGATGTGTTTTTCTGGAACAGATCTGAAACAGGTCATCAGTCAAGCAAACTCGCATGTTTTAATCTGTTTTTATATATTTGCAAATGTTGTAGGTTTATTTTTAAGAAAAAATCATTTTCTTAGAAATGTGAGTATTTATACCTAGTGAAAAGTGGATATGTTTTGTAAAACAAATCAAGAGCAAATAAAATTGCTTAGAAGTCTGGGTTTGTACAAGATCAATATGTAACCTCAAGGACAAGTATGTCACTTTTTGAAGAAGTACATCAGTCCTTCAGAAAGAATTTTGCATGAGCCTGCTGGGCTCTGACCTTCTGATCACAGTGAGTGTTTTCTAGTGGTCAAGTGCTTGTGTGCTTTGACTCACCCTGTCATCTGAGTGAATCTGCTTTGGGACAAGAGGTGCATGTCTGTTTGTCACCTGGTGGTGTTGGCAGTGTGCTTGGAAATGAAAGCTGGTTAGACAGCATCGTAAAACAGTTCAGCCTGTGATACTTCTCGCTATTTGTGGTATTCAAGAAAACAACACAAAATGAATTTTGAGCTCTGTGCTTTGCCTCAGTCCACTGTAGGTAACTTGGCAGCTGAAAATGTGTGGTTTTGATTTGGATAAAAAGAGAACCTTCTTAGATCTTTAAAATTCTTTTGTCCAGTTTCTCAGTTCTTGCAGTTCTTACTCTATCTACTCTCTATTTCCTCCAGCACACCTTTTCCTTGGTTATTGTTTTCAGATGTGATTTGGTGATAACCTTGTGAAGGCTGGTGATTGTTTTCTGTAAAACATTGATTTAAAAAAAAATCATCAGATCAAATGCATTTGTTTTCACCTGATTTTTCATGCAAACATTGGTGTGTTAGGTAAAGTAATATAAATGTTGCTTTAAGCATAATGGTAGCTGAATATGTTTGGATAAAACACTGCACAAGAGGACTTGGTTAGAGGGAGCAGTATTTGACAGGTTTCAGTACGTTCACTGATCTGCAGACTCAGTAGAGCATTCTTTGCAGCTAAAACAACAATTCTCCTTTTAAAAGGAGAAAGTAACATTTGGTGTACAGTGAGTTGTTTCTCTTCACCATCTAACTCTTCAGTTGGGAGAGTGATACACAAAATGATGAGGTTTGGCAGCTTGCCTTTCTTGGGAGTAGCCCCTGGACACCATAAGGTTTTATCAGTGCAGTATCTTATTACTGTGATACTGGTGTGTTCACACATCAACCTGGGAACTTTTATAAAAATGGCAAGCTGCTTAGTCTTTTGGTTTTGTTAATTTGGGTTAAAAACATATTTTCTTTATCCAGCAAAGGTGACACAGTGTTGTCCCCAGCAAGCTTCTGAATTAAAGTCATGTTAGGTGCTTGGTGTTGGATCTGTGAATTCTCCCATGAAGCTGAGAGCTGCTCCACAACTTAGAAAAGATTCAAACACAGTTTAAATGTTAAGCGTTTTACAGAACAGTGCTTTTAATGATGTGTTATTGGTTGTTTTGAGTTACTGGAATGCAGTGAATGTGATGCAAGAAAGTGCATCAGAGGTTGGTTTTGGTTTATGTGTGTTGTTTGTCCAGAAAGATCAACATAAAACAACTATTTTAGCTTTATCATCCTAGTAATTTGCATGCTAACTTTTAGTGCTTGAGTAGTTACTGCTACATATTCAAATAACTTTGGAATTTTCTTTATCTTTCTTAAGAATAGAGGTTTTTAGAGTTAGGGAGTATGCACTGATGCTAATTATACACTTAACGGGGATATTCTTGTAGAACCTTGTTGTGAAATATGGAGTCTGAGTTTAAACAGGGGCAGTTAAAAACTCTTAAATTTGTTTAGGTTTGGGGTGTGTTACATTTCACTTAGACTATTACATACAGTTTGTCTGAGTGATGCTGACTTAGTACTTATTTTGGGAAGAGGAGGAGTTGAAGGAAAATAGAGCAGTGAAGGGTTAACCTGGCTGCTTTACTCCTTTTAAGGAAAATGAGTGATTTTTTGAGTCCTAAATTTGTACATACAACTGCTTATCTGAAGCACAGGAAGGTAAATAATCACTAATAATTAAATAAGGAAAATAAGTTAAATTGAGTTGATAGTTGAGAAGAGAAAGTGAAGTAACATTGAATAGTGTTTGTGTGATTATTACTTCTTTCTGAATGCAGGCCCAGTTTTAATTGGTTGTATAATTACATATTTACTAGATTAGTAGGGAATCAGTGAATTGATGGCGAAGTGAAAGCAAATATCTACCAAAAGAAACAGCATTTCATACTCTTCTATAATATACAATTTGAAAGCAAAAAGGAGTGGTTTTTAAAATTAATGTTTGAAGAGTTGGTTCCATATCAAAGGAAGCTAATAATCATTAATGCGAAGATTTACATTATTGCAGGTAACTGACAGCATGGAAAGCAAAATTGATGTCCTTATCTATTCAAAATCATTTCTAATTTTTATGACATAAAATGTACAATTACTGAAAACCAATTTCTTTCAAGTTCCCTTTCAAGTGTATATATATCTGAGAATTTATTCTGGATAGTGTTAGAAAGTAAAATTAGCATGATGAAGAAACTAGCAAGAATGCCCACAGTTTGAGGAAATACATTTCTTAAATTCTGCGGTGGTGGGTTTTTTTTTTTGAGAACCATTAATGTCAACAGCTGTATTCTTGAATCCCAAAACTTTCCTTATGGCCAAAGGTTAAATTCAAGACAGTGAATGTCTTTGGACTGGGAACTGTTCTTGTAAATATCCTTAACTTTGAATAAGCAGCTTTACTTCTTGCTCGCTTGCACTATGTATGGATTTCTTGCAGTCAATTGAAAACCTGCAGGAAAATACTTGTTGACTTGAGTACTTATTATTCCTGCTTCTTCCCACTGGGATTATTATTATTTTTTGTTTTAAGATTGAGTGTTTAAGTGTTTAAATTTTGTGGCAAGCTTGTCATTTGAGAAGAAAAAAACACTTTATCCAATTGTAATCCCTTGCAATTCCATTGCAGAACGCTGAGATTTAATCTAGTTTGCTACACTGTGCTTATTTTAAAGCTAAAATATCTTGCCGAAGGATTTTTTCAAGTTATTAGAAAATAAAGTGCCTTCTTAGTGACTAAGAGCAGATACTGTAATTAGTGAATAATAATAAATGCATTTGTATGTTGACTTATGGTAATATAAAAATGAATTGTTGAGAAAGCAGTGCCTGTGCAGATGATGATAATGCCAGTGCCTCCCCAAAAACAAGACACAAGTTGTACTCACCAGTTAAAATGATATCTATGAAGTCACAGTAACTTACTGAATACCAGAATACCCCAAGGTTGGCATTTAGTCTATTTTCATCAAAATTGGCCAATTATTTATCCTCTCATTTGCTGACCAGCAGCTAGCCTGCAGAATGTAGCGTGTCTATATTTGTTAATGTTGAAGAAAACAGGATCTATTTGAAATATTTGTACAGGGTTCAAAACTTCCAGTTCTCAGTACTTGAATGTCTTAGTATTGATTGAAAAGGTACAAACTTACTTGTGACTTTGGCTGTGAAGTATATTTAGAAGTTTTATCACTGGTAGCAATGTCATTAGTTCTCTGAAGCAATCTTTTGTTTGTTGGCTTTTTTCCATTGAAAGCATTTACATACTGCAAATATTTGTTCTGACCTTCCAGTCACGTTCTTGATGATATGACTTTTTAACAAAATGTTTCCTTGAAACATGTTTTAGAAGTGTTTTAATATGCTTAACAAACTTTAATTGATTCTCCATGCAAAAATTTGCACTGTGTGCACGTAAGTATTTGAACATCTTAGTCAAGTTGTTTGGTTTTGTTTTTTTTCCTTTCTCCTTGGTATATTCTATTGAATTGACACGGGAGGTTTTTTAGAATTGCACAATTTATTAACTGTAGGTGGCTATTAATTCTGCTGAAAGACATTTGATGATTCTTTTCCCCAGCTCCAGGAACGTAGCTTTTCTTTTGTTAAATACTGCCTGGCTGAAAAATTCTTGACTTGGTACCACTGGATATTAAAGTATGGAGAAAAATAGTGGTGGTGATTAATTGAAATTTTCAATTGTTAACAATGTAATAGAAAAAAACTATTTGGAGGTTGCCAAAAAACACTGTTGTGGTCACCTTCCTCTGAAGAAGAAAAAAAAAAAAAGCAAACCAAAAATCTTGCTAAGGCCTTATGGGTTCCTTTTCAGTGAATAACAATTGATGAGAGACCTAAAGGACGTCATTAAGACAGGCTATGTTAATTGTAACTTTTTTCCCCTCCTAGTGGTCATTCGTTGTGGCTACAATCACAGAAATTCCACCAGTCCTCTTTCTTCCCAACTTCCTTGTTCAGAGAAAAGTTTTGAAACCTCTGCGAACCCAGACAGGAGGAACAATAATGGTAAGGTGTTCTTGATTTGCTTTGACTGTATTTATACAGATCTGTGAGTTGTAATGCTTTTTGTAACTTAAAGCCTCAAACCCCAAAGTCCTGTTGAGGAAAGCAAGTTAGTGTACAGACCTAAACACGAGCAAAGTCTGGCACTTAGCAAATAAAGAGATGAAGGATGAACCTGATTTTTATTGTCTGCGATTTCCAGAAGCAAAAGGAGCAGTAAGGGGCAGCCTGTGCAGGGAATGAGAGATGACAGGAATTATGGCAAATGCAAGAACTGCACAATTTGTAACTATGTTCAAATACAAGCAATTTCTAGGAATGAATAGTTGTGAAATTAATAGAATAGAAGATACTTTAAAGCACATATTTACCACATGGCTGTAGTTTGGCTACTTTTGGTATTAAGTGTTCGTATCTTAAAGATGAGTGTGGTGATGTGATTTTTTTTTTTTAATACTTTGTGTCTAATTTGGATAATGAAAGTTCATTTGTTCAATTGTAGATGCTGCATAAGCAGCTCTGCTGAAGTGAGAATACAGCCTGTTTCACCTTGACAGGATTGTTTTCTGATCAGTTAAATGAGTGCTGTGAGGAAGAGAGATGTGCAAGTCGCCACGCTTCTAATTTTGCCTGAGAAACTTCCATGAGAGATGTTGAAGATGTGGAAAGAAAGCAGTTTATATCTGTAGCCAGGGACATACTGAGGAAAATATGCCTTCATATTAGTGAACCACTAACTAATGGGATCCTTTCTTCCCTTATTCATTCCTTGACTGTGATAAGGTGGTAACAGTACCAATCTTTTTGTGGATAACTGTCACAATTACATAAATGGAAAGAAAGAATCCTATCTGAAATCCTTAGGGTTATGATACAAATGGATCTTCACTACATTTTAGCTACTCTTTCTGAAGGAAGCTGTTAGAGTAGATGCATGTGAAAAGAATAGAAGCAGATATTGCTTCTTTTATATTCATTTGAAGGCAATTATTGAAGAACATTGTTCTGCGGGTTGGCAAACCTCTCAGTATGTTTATATCAGATATAAATGTATGATTTATTGCAACCACTAGATGTTTAAAGTGAGCAAGACTGGGAAGCCATAATAGAATGACAAAGAAATGACATTATTTTCAGAAGTAGCCTACTAGGTAACTTCCCATTTCTCTCAAAAGTAATATAGGTACTTAGCAAGTTAACTGTACACTGGAATTGAGATTTCCTATTTTTAAGTGGGTGCCTTCATGAATGTATGAAGAATTTGTTAAGGATATTAAAAAAAAGGAGAGCTCTTCTCTGAGTACTGCATAAGAGTGTGCTGTGCCTTTTGTCTATCAAAATGTGGAATGTCACGGTCTGACCTGAGGAAGTAATGTGAGAGAACCTAAGACCTTGATGAAACAGTTTTCCAAGTACGTGACAAGATTATATGAGACAGACTTGGGGCAGCATTATTTTTGAGTCCTCTTTGTTTTTTTCTGTGTGAAATGATTGTAGAAAGCCAGTTAGGATCAGATAAGAGCGGAATGAAATACTTAGCTTTTCTGTTGTATTTACATCTTTAATGGTATAACAACTCAATGATCAGGAAAAATGGCATTTTCTTACAGTATTTTAGTACTTTGTTAAATGTGTATCCTGTCTAGCTGCTGGATCTGTAAAAATAACTGGAAGCTTTAATGCTATATACTTTCTTAGATTCCAAAGCTTAATGGTCATGCTGTGAATTACACAAGAATTTGCATCACAGTTGCCAAAAATATATGCTTATGTATATTTATTAAGTAACATTGTGTAACAGCATAATTTATATGGGAATTACTTAGGAAAACAAAATTATTTTAACTTAAAGGATGAAATCACAATGTTAAATGTTAAGCATCTGTTTGCACGTCTACGGTATCTTGATGCTACTTTTGGAAATTCTTTAATCTCAGAAGAAATCAGTAGAGCCATGAGAGTCTCCTCAAGAAGTGTTGTATCAGCAGTAACCAGAATTGTGCGTAGTAAAACATCTTCTCCTGACTGTTTGCATGTATATAGGAATGCTGTCAATAGGGAATAAGCCTTCTGTAGGCAGTACCAAGTGGGTTTTTGTATAGTTATGAACATATTGAGCAATCTGTTTGTGATTCCTAGATGCACTTGATGCCAAGGTGCGTAACAAAATGTTAGGACTCAAATTATTTTCCTTTAACCCCTTTTGTTCGCCTAATCTTTAGAAGCATGATGGATTTATCTTATTGTTTCCAATAGGAATTTTGGTTTGTCATTCTGGAGATGTAAGAAGGTGTATAAGTTCTTGGAAAGTGAAAAGTACCTCTTGTTGCTGAGTTTTATTTCAGGCTCATTATTTAATTCAGCAGAGGATTGGCTGCTTTTTTAAAATCATATGTATGATTATATATGTATATATGACATGATGTACTATATATCTTATCACATATAGAATATATGATTACACAAATATATGCTATATTTTATATTAATATATGTGATTTTTTAAAAAATAAAATATATAAAAATACTTTTTTTTAATATGGCTTTAAGGAATATTGCAGTTAAACACTTCCTTGAGTCCTGCTGGCCAGAACAACTTTTTTTTTTCCAATTAAATTTTAACACTTTAGCCCCACGTATCTTTTTTCTGTAAGTACTTTTCGTTTCTTCAATGTCATTTGAGTTCATAGGGGAGTAACAGGCACAGATTTCATTTGTTATCAGAAGGCAAAAATTGATCACATTTATATTGTGCATGTTACATTATTTAAAGAAACAACACAGGACACTTAATGCTTGGCATTTTTCTGTTCCCACCCACAGCTGAGGCTATGTTAATCAGTATTTTCAGAATTTTGAGCTGAAGTTCTTCCTATTTCTTACACAAGAAGGAAGAGTATTGGAAGATTTCTGCTCACTTTTATTCCTACCAATACTTGTACCTTCAGTTTACCATTTGTCTGCTAGGGGTCAGTGTTCATCTCCACAAAGCCCGGTTAGTTCAAAATCTGCTCAACTGCAGGAGAGTAAAATACAGATGTGAAATCAAATATTTTTTTCTACTAATTTTACTGCATATAGTTTTGTATGGCTTGTATTGAGAGATCTGATTCAGAATGACTTCCATTAGCAAAGCAGCTGCAAATGCAGTGGGTGCATTAGAATGCCAAGAGCCGCGTTTGGGGTGGGAGCACTCAGTGGTTGCCTCATTCATTCATCAAGTTCTTATTGTCATTTCCTTCAGGCAGGAAAACTTGCTGTTGATAGAGGCTGGGCAATCAATGTGGGTGAGTACAAATGGAAATTTGTATTAAATGATACTTAATGTGTTTTTAAAGTCATTATTTTCATTCAGTATGATGTATATTCTGTTTATTATAAAGTGACTGGATTGTGTTTAACTAAAATAAACTTTAAATGGAAAAAAAGAGGACTAAATCCTGGATTTGTTCTCTTATCCACTGTCATCCTTGTTGCAGTTTTATAACTAAATAAAATATTTGTTGATAGGAAGAAAATAACCAGGTAAAGATATGATATTTATACGCTGTGTGTGGACTGTAGTAGTGAGAATGAAATGAGGAAAAAGGTGTCCAGAGTATATGCAAATATTTCAGTAAAATATTCCTTTAAATTATGCAGAAGTTTGAATAGGTCTTGTTAGCCATGCTGTATACATATAACACCAGACCAGGAGATTGGTTGACATGCTGTACAGTTGGACTATACCTGTTGGTCTACTTTTGGCTGTGTGGTTCTGCCTGAAAAAGGCTTGACTGAAGAAGAAGAATATAAATCTGCACCCTTGCTCATGTCAAAATAGTGATGCAAAACCAGTAACCTACTGAACTAATAGTTTGTCATTTTTGGTGCCCATCAGTTCTAAGATTTTCCATTATATCTTACAAATACTTCTTGATATTTCTGAATGCAATAAATCTTGCATAGTGTTATCTGTGCAACATTCCAGTTTGTTTTGTTTTAAATAAGCTCCCAGTGGAAGAAAGACTTGCTGTATAATACGTGTAATGTAAAGCTTTTTTTCTCCTTCTCCTTTAGCAAATGATATTTTAAAGTATTATCTATAAAGTAAATATCCAGTACTAAAAATTAAGCGCATCTTTAAAAAATCCTGTGATTTATTGATGTATAAACTAGGGTTAAATTTCTTGCCTAGATATTTGTAGTGGGTTTCTTAAACTCTTTTGGGTTAGTATAGTTTTAATGGTTTGGGACGTCCAAATATTTCTTGTTGTTGTTATAAAGAAAGTGCATGTTTGCTTTACAGATCTGTTCTTAAAATATTCTTCTGGTCTGTCAGCAAAAGACAATGACGTGCAAATAATAAGGCCATACTTTGTGGTTTTTGTTGTTTTTGACCCAATGTTCAGCATGTAAAAGGCACTTTGAGCATAGCAGGCAAATGCAAAGGACGTGTTAATTGACTTTGTTAGGATGTGCTGCCTGGGGATATATGATCCAAGTGCAACTCTGGCACTTCTGGGAGGAGGTGAACTTTCAAAGCAGTGTGCTTGGTCATGTAGGCACCACACTGTGTGTGTGTACTTCTCTGCTGCTAGATGACAGTTGCTTTCAAACTGAGCATCTGCTGGTCCTCTGCACTGGTGGCCTGATGCGTACAGGAACCCTATGAGATGTTTAGGGTTGGTAGGTGAGGGATTGGCAGCTCTAGATTAGATACAAAGGGGAAAAAAAATGCCTGATGTGACCTAACTCTTAGTAAAGATTATAAAAGTTCCCTGGTATGTAGTTTTTTACCCCTTCCAAATTTTTATGCTTAGGAGGTGGTTTTCATCATTGTTCAAGTGACAAAGGTGGAGGATTTTGTGCATATGCTGATATCACACTGGCTATTAAGGTAAGAAATACCATTTTGAGAGTATTTTCTACTATTTGTGCAAATGGAAAAATGTTCCAGAAGTTCATAAGTACTAACTTACCTCATAGTCAGAAAAAATAAAGTGTTTTAGAGATGAGTAGGAATAGGAAAATGATGCAATATTTAATGCTACAGAGCACAGTGCATAAGCAGCTATTAAGTGGAAGGAAAGAGATACAGGGTCAAAATTATGAATGGAAATACAAACTGCTCTACTTGCATTAATAATATATTCTTGGAGGAAAAAAAAAAGCAAGCTAAAACAGATTGTCTTGTAGTATCTGCACTGATAACTATCCCAGTCTTGCAGTTGAACCTGCAAATTCCATGTGAGTTTTTGGTGCTTATAATGGAGACTTACATAGAGACAGAAATCTTTTCTTCAAATCAGGCTGCTCTATGCAGTCCTCAGAGTGGCTCAAATTCATGAATAAAAATGTGAATGTGTCCAAGATAATCACTGAATTTGAATGAATACATGTGCTCCTCAGCTGTTGAAAGGCTGAAGCAGGAGCTTTCTGCAATTAGAGCTTATATCTAACAAGTGCCCTGTGGTGTATTTGTATACTAGAATATAAAATATCAGTAATAATCAAAACATAAAAAAGACCTAATGATTACAGCACACTAAATGACAGAACACCCTAATTTCTGTATACTGTAATTTGCAGAAAGCAATCCACAGTGTTGTTTTCTCTATCATTAAAATACAGATTGAGAAATTATAACAGGTAACAGTTGACACAAAACCTTTACATTTTTTATGACGTATTAAAATAGTAATTTGGCAAAGTTGTAAGACCCAAAGAATTAGAAAAGTATGTTTTTTATTTGCAGACGTGGAATAACAGATGAATTATCTTACTAGCCTAAAAAGTGACTGTAATGCATACAGCCCCTGCTGTGATGAGTTTTATAGAGCTGGATTCCATCAGTGGAGTATTTCTCCCTTCCTGCTGTTAAGCCTTACTTGTGCTATCATTTATGTCTTAGGAAACAAGCTGCTCACCATTTCAGGGTCCATGAAGCTCTTGCTTCACTCTGCCCCAACACATAGTCATTGCTCTTGCTGTCTCTGACAGCACCAGTGCCACAATCAGCTTTATAATCCCTAGCTGGACCTGTCCTGTGCCTGGCTGGAGTGGGATGTGGAGACTTGCCACTTGTGCTTATGCAGAGCCAGCACTACTACAGCAGCCCTTCTTATCCTGGCTCTCCTATGTTATTCAGTGCCATTGAGCTGAAGCCTTATTTGCGAAGTCTGTTTTGCAAATTAGTGTGTGATGCTGTAAGGTATGTCCTTCATCTTACTTTGAGCCTGGTACATTCTGGGGGGAAGAGGATATGAGTAAAAATAATTTTCTTCCCTCTCTTCACCAAACTCTTCTACAGGTAGGTAGATACCTGCACAGATGACTGTGAAATGAATGTTTTTTGCATTTCATATGATGGATATGTATAGATTTTTCTTATATAATCATACATTTTGAATTCAGCCCTTTATTTGGTGAATAAAATGACATGCACGATGTTAAAACTGAATGAATAATACACTGTGCAAGCTTCAAGCCTTCAGTTAATCTATCACCTGATTTCATAGCTGACTCTACTTTTTGTTTGTTTTCCCCTCTAGTTCTTATTTGAAAGAGTACCAGGGGTGTCTAAAGCCACAATTATTGATCTGGATGCTCACCAGGTAAGTAATTTTGTTCTATTCAGTACTGTTTTGTTAGAAGTACAAATGTGTGATACAGACCATCTTTCTGTAGTAGTAATATGAAATATTAACTCATGGGATCCAAAGTTATCGTAGGTGGTAAAAGCTGATAATATTTTAGTTGTTTTTATTATTTTATGTTCCAATGGGCTGTTAAGCCAGTTCAATAAAATTAAACTGAGTTGCAGCTCCATCATGTGGTTAGATACAAAAATATTTTTGAATTGAATAGTCTGAGAAGTAGTTCAGGTTCCCAGAAGAAAGTAAAATCTCTTACAAGGAAATGACAGTTGGTTCAGCTGCCTGGTCATTGCAGCAGCCTTCTCAGGAGGTGAATTTGACCTTCAGTGTTACAATAGAAAGATTGACTTCAAGCTAATGAAGTAAATAATGCATCTCTATTCCCTGGTAGAGTGATTTCTGTGGATACTGAGAATAAGTCTCATCTTCAGGAGGATTTCCAAAATAAATCCTCAAAGGAAGGAAATAGTATTTTTAGAAAAGCAGCTAATGTGCTAAAATTACATCCAATCTAAAGCATTGAAGATTTTTGTGAATAAACCATCGGAGAGAAGAAGCCTAATAAGCTCCAGAAGTGTTCCATCTTCTATCAGTTCTCTTTTCTGCAAGTTAAGGCATCCTAAAATTGCCAAAAAGCAAAGGCGTATCTTACGCAGCAGAAAGATGCTTTGTGTTTCCCATTCTGTCTGGGTATTTCCATCAAGGTGTGGATGCCTTTGGTTTTGTCATTTTTTTTGTTTGTTTGGTGTTAAATTTTTGTCCATTTTTTTCTTTTAAAAGATTTCTTGGAATGCAGTTTTATATTCAGCTGTCAAGCCTGTGACCTCAGCCAGCATGCTAAATTGCCCCTTTCTGTAGTTGTCTTTCCTTGGGAAGTAGGAGGTGTGTGGAGTACTAGCTCAACAGATGCTTTTTAAGTGTGGAGACATTCTCATCCTGTGAGTGTCCCAGTTCTTGGTGTGTTTGAGTTTTACTGTTTATAAGAAAATGGTTTACCCAGAGGCTCTTGTATTCCTAGATTTATATCAGTAATGTTTCTTTGGACCAAATGTGCTGAAGAAGTAAGTAGGCATTGCCATATTTTAGCCTAAAGAAATATGAAGTATTGTAGTATCCTGTTCCCTTTGTTGCTTGTATTGACTAGCTTTAGCCTATTGTTTCTGTGTTTGTTTTTCTTGTTTTGTTTCCCGTGGAGGAAGTCATGACAGAAATATAGTTTAAGTACTTGCTGGGGAAGATTACAAAATGAACATAAATTCTGAAGTATTGAGGACATATCTGGAATTCTGTTTCTAGTTTAAATGAAATCATTCTAATGAATATATTGAGAGTGAGGGAATGGGTTCTTTATGATACACTGATTTAGATGAAATTATCTTGGTGATTACTGTGAAAGGATAATTGTACCAGTTGAAACAAGTCTACACGAGAGAGAAAAGAATACTATTCAGAGATGGGGAAAGGAAGAAGTATTCAGAGTCTGTTTTCTTTTGAGCATCTACCTTTTCACCTGACACATCTTTGTAGGGAATTTGTGGTGTCAAACATTAAAAAGTTGAACTATCATGCTGCGTATTTAGTGTTTGTAATGTTTCCAATGGCTACTTATCTCACCAAGACTTGAGTAATCAGGAGAACTGCAGTCTACTATTTTATTCTTATACAAGGATGTAAGTATCCTTGCAGCAGAATTCTATTCTAAGTATTGAAAGTTATCTTTCCAATTGTATAAAAATGTTCCTGTTTTGCGATCTTGGCCACATTGCGTTTGTGATGCTGCTGAAAGCAATTATCTTCTAATTTTCACTTCTTATTTCACATACAAGAGGAAAAAATACCTTGTAATTACCTTCGCAGAGATAGTAGGATGATGACTTTTTGTTAATACCTGCGGTCTTCAGACTCATACTATCGAAGCCCACAGTATACCTGAAAATAGCCTTCGAGGCCATAAGTAAGGGAGTTTTAAATAGTCTTGGTAGTCTTGATTATGTTAGAATCTGCAGATTATGGTCCTGTGTGAGTGTGCTAGAAAGAACTAACTCTAAACTTCCTCCAGGGAAATGGCCATGAGAGGGACTTCATGAATGATCATAGAGTATATATCATGGATGTGTACAATAGATATATCTATCCAGGAGATGGATTTGCTAAACGTAAGTATAATTGAAGTTCATATTCCAAATGTGAAAGAATGGCTATTTTTTAATAACTTTTTCATTTACTGATAAGTTTTCTTGCAATGATGTTATCTTTTCTTTACTTCACATAGAACATAATACTTAGAATGATTTTGCTACATGTCAAAATAGTGTTGATTCTGTAGTGTTTTGCCTTGCTTTGAGAATGAAGTGGCTTCCTTCATTTCTACACTGAATGTAAGCTGTGGGTATTGGTTAGACTGGGCAGGGGGAGAAGCATGAGCATACCTTTGTTTCACTGATGTTGAACAAGGAAAGTATTAAAAAAACAATACTCAGCACTCACTAGGCAATAAATGTGTGTTAGATTTATTCATGCATGCTGTGTGCTGAATCCATGCTTAGAATTTAGGGCTCCAAGTCCCTTAAGTTAAGGCATAGGTTATGCTGAGGTGGAAGTCAGATCTTGAAACAACTCTGATATAATTTGATCTAGAGTTAAGCATAACTGCTTAAAAGCAGACAAAACTAGGCTTTATAACCCTCGATTTCTTTCTACCACCTTTCCAACACTTCTTTTCTATTTTTAATGCTTTATTATAAGTGATTCCAATAATTTGATTTAAATTAAGAATAGATATTTGCTCCTTCTGGTAGGATTACAGGGTAAGAACATTAAATTGAAAATGCTTGGGGCAAAGCTAAATCTTGTTATATGTGAAGCAATTCATGTAAATTCATGATCTTACTGTTACATTTTTAGTGTTGAGATAAAAGTAAAACATCTTAATACCTTAGTGATGTTTATATTGTGGATTTCTTTTTCTCTGCAGTAACAATTTGGTGTTCTCTTTTCATTATGCTTTACTTAGGTTACATCTTAAATTTATTCTTTTTCTTTGCTGATTGGTGAATGGTCTTGTAGATAAGTTGTTTTTCATCAATGTTTTGCATTTGTGATTTAGGGAGATTTTTTCCCCTGCATTGAATTGTCTTCAGTGGAATTTTTTTCAAGGTCACTGTGCTTACATTTGATACAAAAACAAATATTTAAAAACTGTTCTTTAACTGAAGAATTTGTGAAAATGCACTGCATTTACTTTGTTCAATAACACAAACGTTCCAGGTGCCATAAAACGGAAGGTGGAGTTAGAGTGGGGTACAGAGGACACAGAATACCTTCAGAAGGTACATACTCATGTGGAAGGAGCATTAAATGAATTAAAACCTGACATTATTGTTTACAACGCTGGAACTGATATTCTGGATGGCGATCCATTGGGAGGACTTGCTATTTCACCTCAGGTTTGTATAACACTAAAATACGTTGAGACTTTCATTATTTACCAAATACTGGAGTTGGTGCTAAGAGTGAATTGCTTGTGGCAGTTTGTTAGATGAAGGTCAGGAATGTACTTCACAGTAAACCAAAGCATTTTTGTTATAAATATGCATCCATTGCTCACTGTATGTTTTTTATTCTTTGTTTCCTGACTGTTTCTTCATGTGCCTGTTTAAGTATCATTCACTTTCTCTCTAAAATATACCCTTACTGAACATGCAGATAGTGTTCAGACAGATGTATATATCACACTGCACTTTGTTTTTTCCCTGTATGATCATTCTCTTGTGTCTAGTTCCGTTTGTTTCCTTTGCCCCTCATACAGTCCACTTGATGTTTTTGTCACTTGCCCTTGGTATGTATCTTAACACTTAATTTCCTCTGTAGCACTTCTGTCTATTTTAAATGTCTCTTTTGATGTCTCCCATATCTAGCAGTCTTTTGCAGCCTATTTGTTATTCTTAACAAATGAAGAGATTTTTTTCCACTTTCTCCATTCTTTTTTATAGAATTATCACTTCCTTGTTCAGTTTAGCTTTTCTCCCTGGTTTAGTTTCAGATTTAAATTTTCATTTGGCCTGTATAGCTGAATAGAGGTTTTCACCTTCTCAACATCATAACAGATAAGCTTTTCTCAAAATATGAAATTCTATAGCTCTCTCATTTCCTCTTCTTTTTTTGATGATTCTTTCCCTGACAGTTCCTCAGTTCCTTGTCCTGTTTTCACATTTGATTCTCTTTCTTTGTCTACCAGTTCAGTACAGGAAGAAAATGCTTTCTTGATTTGTGCACTCTTGGAATCCTTCCTAAAGGAGCCATCACTCAGTATGTTCTGTTTTTCAGCACTTTAGTTCTCAGTCTTCCACAAAGCTCTAGTTTCTTGTTAGTTTCTGTTGCCTTTCTGATGCAGTTCCTCATTCTCATTGTCTCCATCAACAAGCTGTCTGTTTTTGCTTTCTGATTGCCTCCAGATACCTTAATGAGTCTGGGGTAAAAGGATTTGGGAGCTGGTTGGAATTTCCAGGTTTTCGTTTGATGATTGTGTAAAAGCTCCTCTGAGAAAGGGAAGAGGTTTGGAGAGGAAACTGCCATCAAGTGATAAATGAAAGACACTGATGTGCCTTTTCAATTTTTTTTTCTGCCATATGTTAATTGTCAAGAACAGTGAGTTGTTGCAGCCAGTTGGTTGCTGTTTATATAAAATGTCACTAAAATCATCTCACCTTTCTTTCCCTCCATCTTTATGAGAAGAGGTGAAAGGCAGTGTGTGCCATTTCTTTGTGTGACTGCTGTTTCAGACATCTGATGGAGAAAAGTTTCTGAACTGAGGGCAGAGTTTCTTTTCTTTCTGATCTTGTTAGTTTAGGAATGATTAATGTGTTTCACCAAGTTACAAATCCTAGCCTAGTGAAACTGCCAAAACTGAAGACATTGAGCATAGATAGTTCATCTCTTCAAGGCTAAATAGTCCAGTTTTCAGTTGTGGATGCTGTTTTTTGTTTTAAAGTCTCGCTACAGTGTTAATTGTACTCAAAATGTGCCTCCACACTATAGTCAGGAAGTTTAATGTGCAGCAAGTATCTCTCTAGCATCATTTCTGAATTGCAAGTGTAGTAGGCTTTAGTCATTTTTTGTATGTTCTTTTCTAGTAACATGCAGAAGCTGGGAGTAAACCCATGCCTGTTTTTCTCAGCACCCACTAGAGATTTTGGAGGATTTGCTGAGGCAGTTCTGTTCCCATGAGTAGTGACTGCTTCCAATTCTCCTTCAGGATAGCATTTTCTGCATCTGCTGATTGCTCCCCAGAGACCTACAGCTCATTCTGTAATTCTGTTACTTCTTTGTGGGATCTGTTCCTGATGTAATTCTTTAGTTTTCTGTGTCTTGATTTTCATTTGTTAGTGTTTGCGCCCATTGTTCTTTTACAGAGTCATATCAAACTAAAAACATCTATATTTCATGGTTTTGCAAAATATTTTTCAGCTACGTTTTTGAGTTTTCTTTTCCATTTGTTTGTGGACAACTTTTTTTAACTTCCGAATATCTCACAAGCAAGAATTCTTATAAGAATTTATAATAAGCAACTTCTGTCTGTTGTGTCCTCTAAAACTAAGACAAAGATTTTGGATTTGCTGTTTTTGTTGTTGTTTTTAAAGGCTTATACATGTAATGTCTCTAACAAGGCTTTTAAAATAATTGTGTTCCTAATACAAAATATAAGGTTGAATTACTTGTTAAGCATCCTGTACTACAAATCCAAAGACTAAGTCTGTTAGAATTAAATACCATATTGTATCACTTCAGTTTTTTCTAACTGTTGTAAACATGCAGGGAATTGTGAAGAGAGATGAAGTTGTGTTTAAGGCTGCCAGAAGCCGTGGAATCCCAATTTTGATGGTGACATCTGGAGGCTACCAGAAGAGGACTGCCCGGATTATTGCTGATTCTATCCTCAACTTGCACAACCTGGGGCTTATTGACAACCAGTGGAGCTGAAAACCCAAGGTAGAACAGATGATTAGGGGCTCTGTAACAGACTTAATCAATTTATCACTGCAGTAATGGTTAGTAAGTTTTTTTCCTTAAATTTAGCATTTTAGGAGCAGGAAGTTTCCATGTCATCAGGGTTAATATAAGAAATTCACAAAGGACTGAGCTTCCCTGTAAAATAACCTAGTATGTACAACACACAGTTGCAGATTAACTGTGTTTAACTACTGAAGCTGTCTAGAGCAAAGGCAACAAATCCTTTTGTGCTAATTTACATGTACTCAAGAGTACCTTATTTCAGTTTATAGGGTTACTGTAGAAAGCTTTAATTGCTTCCTATTGTCGCAGATTGTCCACTATGTTGAAAGAACAGTGTGGTTGGACTTTCCCAGGCCCATTTGGTGGTATGGTTCAGACAGTGGCTGGAGTAATCTGCACTAAATTGATTGGTATTATTCTTAGATACTGCATTATATTTATTGCTTTTTTAAAGGTTGTTATAACAGTTCCGTGCACTCTTCTACTGTCAGTTTAACACTCAAGTGCAATAATATGGAGAACAGTTCAGTTGCTTGGCTTTTAAGCCATAGCCTATTAGGATGAACATTTGTTAATGTATATTTTATTCCTATTTACTACAGTGATGTAGATTCTGCTTTTAAATACACTGAAAATAGAATATCAAATGTCTTTGGCTTTGTATGCAGGTGGGCAGTAAGGGATCAGCAATAAGTGCGGTGTTTTGCCTCTCTTGAAATGAGGCCTGCATTTAAAGGCAGTAGTTACTATGCATCGTAGTTTGTTTACTCTGACTTACTAGAAAACTAAACCTAACTGTAGTGTTCTGAGAACTGTTGCAGAGAATGTCATGTAGAAATACGAAATAATTTTTATCACTAGCTTGTCATATATAAGCACTGAAGAGTAAATCTCAATTTTTTTTCCAGCTAGTCCTGTTTTTCACTTGCTTGAAGATTACTGATAGTCATAGCTACAGTCATAGTTGGTAACCAGATTGTTCATGTTTGTTCATAAAAGACTGTGAAACTTCTATAATAAGCTAATGTAATAACCTTATATGGGAGGTTCTAGGAGGTTATGATATGAGAACAGAATAGTGCATTCAGATGCAAATTTTTGATGCATTGACTGTAATGTTTATTTTTGTTGGTACATTATGCATTAACTACTGTTTGTAGCATTGGATCTTAAATGTGCTAAACTGTATATTTGGCAAGAGCTTTCTTAATTTCCAACTATTCACTGATCTTATGTTCAGGTTTGAGCCTTTCTGTGAAGGGACCCTGATGTTTTCCATGTAGTAGAATTGGTGTGTAAGCTATTTAAGGGATGTTTCATTCTGATTGAATACTTACCTCAGTAATGTCACTTTTAAATTTATGATGTTTATTAATGGTTGGAATTTGCACAATTGCTATAAATAGCTGCTTTAGACCAGATTTGGCATATTGCACTAATCTTGATTTGCAACACCATTGTCAAAAGGCACTTTTAAACTTCTTACTCATAGGTGGTCAGAGTACAACTAATGTTGAGATTTATTTTTTCTATACTGTCTGTGTTACTGAAAGATGTTGGTATTCTTTCATATAATTTTTATAAAATTATAAATGAAATTTCTATGAACTAAAATGCTGTAATAGTGCATATTCTGTTTGTGTTAACTTGTTTGTTTTATTTTAACTCAGTAAAGATTAAAACGTTGAATACTGGTGGCGACTTTGCTTTTCACTTATTTTGTCTGTAAATATTTTGCATGAAACACTTTATTAAAAAAGGTGCTTTTTTTTGGCAGTTAAAATGTAGCTGAAACTGCAGCATTTCTCAAGGATGAGCAGTACAGTGTTTGTCAACAGTGGAGGGCTTCTCTGGCAGTTACCATGTTGGCCTCTCAAGTGAAATTGGAGTTATGTCTATAAATACTAAAAGAATCATAAGATCATCATAAGGTGTTAAAGTTGCTTTCTAATTCCATATTGCGTTCTAGAAGTGACACAACTTTTAAGTTGAATTTAAACTTAGTACATTATGATTCATATCAAATCTCGTTACCAATAGACAAGGTGCACCAAACACTTTGTCATGGAAACATCTGCAGGTACCTGCAACCATCAGAACTGGCTGCTGGAAAGCTGAATAGTAGCAGATGATGCTGGGAAAAAATGTGGAACTTCTTTTCATCTGGGGTTTTCTTCTTGTTTTTGCTTGTTTTTTTTTTTTTAATTGCATTTTTGACTATAAATGTTTCTCCCTATTACGGGAACATTTCAGAACTGCTGCCTTAACATATAACAATGTATATATACTCATCCTGAAGAAAGGCTGGTTGGTCATCTTTCCTAATGAGATATTGGTTTTGACTCAGATTCTGTAATTAAGAATAGATGTGTCCAAAAGCTTATAGTACAAAGGAACTCTTTTTTCAGTCAGCAACATGTGAAATGTGTTGAAAAACCTGAGGAGTTGATGCTGTGGTCTCTGATCTAACATTTGGCCTGGTTAATTTGACCCCCATCCCCTCACCTCTCTGTTTTACAGTCAGTATACAGTGTAGAAGTTGGTGGTAAAAATGCTGTGCCTTAATAGTCTCACAATGACTGCATTTTAGATATGGTAATATCAATCTCTTTCAACTTGAATGTGTTTTTTTGTTTGTTTGTTTGGATTTCTGATTTCTTTTTTTAACACCCTGGATTCTGAAGTCCCAGACTTCTGTCATAAATACAAGGAAGAATTTGAGAAATGCTGTTGTCAGCTACGATAATGCTATGGATTGGTAGTCAGCATATCGTGTGCAGGGCAGGGACATTCTACAATGAATAATAGCTGTTTGGACACACAGATCCCCTACCCCTTGCAGCTTGAAGAACCTGATGGTTCTGAAACCTGACCTTTCCCTGCTGCTGGAGAAAGCTGCTTACCAGTATCTCAGCCCTCTTATGCATACAGTTCTTTTCAGTGCTGTCTGCATACTTTCTGGTGGGCTGTGAAGTGACTCATTTCTTGTACTTCACAAATTATGCTACATAATTGTGTCCTACATACAGCATAGTCACTTTGGGGAGAATGCTCTGACAAATCCAGATGTTAATAAGTCGATAATCTTGGAAATAGTCCTTGCTCATACTGTTCTGCCAAAAGCTAGAACTGGCTGACTTCAGGAAGCTCCAGCTCTATTATCTTGGTGCTGTGTGCTCTGCTAGTTGCTGAACAGTTGGAGACATTCTGTGTTCTAGAAAACTGCATCTCCCTGCAAAAGAAGGAAGTTCATTTATTATCTTTAGCCAATGGGAACTGATCTTATAATCCTTAGTTGATTCTGAAATGCAGAGCATGTCAGAAACAGAAATAGAGGGCCTAATCCCCAATTCTGTATCCTGAATTTACCTTGAATTGAGTACTGTCTGTGTATTCCCCAACTAGAGGCAGGCCCAAAGTTGTTTGATAGGTACTCATGTTTATCTTGAGTTTTAAAAAGGTGTGATTTCCAGGCTTCTGGTTTTTCTTTGATCCTGATGTTTTTTGTAATCTCTTGTATTTCCCATCCAGTGCTCATCTAATCTTTTTTCTTTCTGTTTGTGTTGATAACTTTGCTAATGTCACTTTTTTTTCCTAGTCAAAGATGAACAGAACTAATTCTTTTCACAAAGACACACTTTGGATAGCTGTATGGAGAACTAACTCTTATTACTGTGTTGGATTCTCTCCTATGCTTACTGCAGCAGCGAAAAGAAGAGACTGGTTCTGTTCAGTTCCCAAATCAATGCAAGTATGGTACCCACCTTAAGATGATGCTTAGGAAAAGAAAAACTCCTGCCTTACTTTACTACTGCATCTCAAATATGCAAAAATGCTATGTCCAGCATATTTGAGTGACTCTCTGAATTCAGAATGGGGTGATAAGACAAATTAACTGAATTGATAAGATTGAATAGGAGGTGACTGTGGTGGGGCTGTGGCTCTGACTTACTTGCTCACTGTAGTTCTGACCTTCCTCCTAACATCTGAGTCCAAATTTCTGGCTGGGGATGGAGTCAATGCAAAATTTTTGAGGAAAGTGTCAGTGCTGTGAGGCACACCTTTTTTTATCAGTCCTGTGGTATTGTGTTTGACCAGGGCAGTGGTCTGTGGCACGCATTTCATTCCCTTTTCCTTCCTTCAGCACTAATGTTGCAGGTAATTAAACTATGTTGTCAGATATAAAGCTAGTTATGCATCTCATTAATCAGATCCAGACTTCTGTGTGTCTCGGTTGAATATAACTTCCTTGGAGCTTGGCTGGAACAGAGACTGGAAGAGATTATCTTTATTTTGGAAATCCATGTCTGAGTTATATAAAAATGAGGGAAATAAATCTGAGGCCAGCATAGAAAGACACTGCATAGATAAGCAGCATCCTCATGGTAGTCCTTAACAGAGTTGTAACAGATGCAATGCTTTGTAAGAGAGAAAAGATGTCTCCTTTTTTTCAGTTTTGACATCATAAGAAAAATTACAGTTAATCCTGTTAGCCAAATGTAGATTGTCATTTGTCTGTGCTTTTGCCCTTGTATTTTCTTAAGTACAGAAGAGAGTAAAAAGGATTTAAGGTAATTGCAGATGGGAGACAAGGAAACTGAAAAATTCCTGAGTAAAAAGCTGCAGTGTGCTTTCTTTACATAGGATGTGTCATTGAGAGCTGCTTTTTGTATTAATTGGGTAGAATTTTTCTTGTTATCAGGTATCAGCATGTTTTATTTTGTGTTTTTTTACATCTTGCAGAGCTTCTCTCTTCATTCTTCACTAATCTTTCCTGAGACTACCACACACCAAAATTGTAACCAAGAACACTTAACTATTTTACAGAGGCAAACATAAGGGCTAAGTAGAGTTTGGGTTTAATTGTCCTCTTTCTTAGTTACAGCAGCTGCTGGTCACTTACTATATAGATTCTTAGCAATGGATGTATACGGACACCCTGCATGTGAGCCTGAGTGGCATGGATGCAAAACACTTTCTGTTTTGGGTTAAATAGCTTGGTAGGGAACAAGATGTTTGCTTCTTGAAAAGAAATCATTCATAATAGCTTGTTCAGCAGTTGAAAGAAGATTCCATTTTAACTTGATTCCTTTGAAAAGCAAAACAAGTTGACAAACATCAGAAGTAAATGGAGATGTTCTTCTTATGGTACTTCCAGAAGCTAGTGTGTCTTGATGGCTCTCAATTTCAAGGACTTGGAGTACCACTGTAGATTAGATGAGTTAGTCTTTGCCAAGACTACATCCTGTGATAATCAGAGAAATACAGATTAATGGAAAGCAGAGAGAAAAAGGAATAGCTGCAGGTGACATGGTGCAACTGCTATAATCATTCTCAGGTTGATATGATAATGCTGCTTGGGCTTAGAGGAAGGAATGGTATCAAATGCAGCCCTGCTCATTGCTTGCAGGCATAAAAAGTGGGTGACATTCTGTATTAAAATTCCTAATTCCTGCTTTTCCCTTCTTCCAGAACACTGTATTTTATTTAAAATTATTTGAACATTGTGAGATTCAAATGATATTTTCTTAAAAATAAAAAAAGTGTGGATTCTTAATTTTTTTTTTTTTGTAGCATTCATAAGAATCCTCAGATGGGCACAAGCTGTGGCTTAGCTGCAGTCTAGCAGAGCACTTGAACATGGGCTGCAGCTCAGGCACCCCAAGGAGGGGACAGCTGCTCTATAAGGGGCTGCACTTCTCTGTGTAGCTCAGCAGCACCAGCTGCAGGCTGGATGACAACATCTCTGAACGCTGGGCATCTGATTCTTGTCTCAGCAATATCTTAATGTCAGTTTTCAGGTAGCCCTAGGAGATTACACCGTACGCTGCCTATTACAATCCGTATGTTTTAAAGCAGGTTTGTAACAATTTCCTAAAATGCTTTCGGAGGAAGTCTTTAAACTATTGGAACTTGCAAATAGAAATATTGAAATTAACCTTTTCTGGAGGAACTGTTTAAACTTCATGGTACGCTGGCTCTGAGATTAATTTTGAGGTGAAATTTCTTGATCTTTCCCATTATTTCTAAAAAGTCACCTTTTGTTAATTAAAAAGCAAAAACAACAGAATGCTATTTCTGGACGACTTTGTTTTAGCAGTGTGAAATGTGGAACTAGGAGAAAATAGTCCTGAAAGGATTTGTACTTACATTTCAAATTAAATAATGTACTTTAAAATTATTCACGTTGGGATCAGAGAACAAAATTCTGCAGGCACAGATTGGATGTACTCACATCTCAGATATCCTCTAATGAGGTTGTAAAGCCAGAGTAGAGATTCATAGCATACCACTGAACACAACTGGCAACAGTAAGTACTGAAAATCAAATAATTATTTTAGATGGTGGAAACAAGCTGGGTGTATGTAGCAATTGCAGCATGCTGTGTTTGTGTACAGGATATGTACAAGGCTATGAAGTTACATCTCCTAAAGTGTTACAGCAGGAGAACTTCAGCTAAATTTTACATGGCAAGAAATGTAAGACCCACTCTTCCACGCAGTCTGCAAATCGACAATTAAATTTGAGATCTGTGATATCTTAAATAATGATCAGAATGAAATGGCAGCTGCAAAGTTGAGTCTGATACTGTACTGTTATGTCAGAGTACCTTGCAATTGACAACAGTTTTTTTGTGCATTGATCTGGTTTTATACAATATTTCTAGACAGGTGTTTCCTTACAGGACTGCCAGGAGTGTTCCTATCACTCTGAATGTTGCAGCTTGTTAAATCGTAGATCATTGAGGTTGGAAAGACCATTAAGATCATCTAGTCCAGCCATCAACCCATACCTGTGGTCGTTCTAGAGCATGTCATTCAGTGTGACATCTGTCCTTTCTTGAACACCTCCAGGGATGGTGATCCATCACTTCCCTTGGCAGCCTGTTCCAATCCCACTCTAGGAAGAATTTTCTCCTAAAATCCAATCTTAACCTTCCCTGGCAGAATTTCAGGCCATTCCCTCTTGTCCTGATGCTGGTACCCAGGAGCAGAGGCCAGTTCCCACCTCACCACAATCTCTTGTCAGGCAGTTGTAGAGAGCGATAAGATCTCCCTGAGCCTCCTCTTCTCCAGACTGGATAATCCCAGTTATTTCAGCTACTCCTCATAAGGCTTGTGTGTGTAGGGAATGTAAGGTTCCATTCTCATGTTACTGTTAAAGTCTGAATGCACTGCAATAGTAAAATCATTATGGTTATTAATAACCATTCAGATAGTAACAGTACTGTAAGAAATAGTGAACTGTCTGAATTAGCAATTAAGATACTTTATTTGATTTGCAAAAATAAAAGCCTCATTTTGTGTATATTCTTGGTTTACAGAGGAGGAGGTAACACAAATGATCATTGTTAGCCTTTTCATTTTTGGAGCTTGTTGTTTAATATGTGCATATTGCTTTCTTTCTGCTCATGAGAATGCCGTTTGCCCACATGAACAGCATACGCAAGCAGGAATGCGTAAGGCAAGAGTGTAGCCTTCCATGCCAGCATGCTGATTGAATTAAAGAATTTCATGAAGTGTGGCAGCAGGAGTGCTGATGAACTGCAGACGTGTTTTTAGAGCTGGCTGCTTATGCTTGAGAACAATATTAAGAACTCAAAAAGCTTACCTTATTTTGACCTCAGAAAAGTAAATGTGACTGTCTGAAGGTTAACAGGCTATAATGGTTATGTTCTTAACAATGTAGTTGCAGTAATTCTATCTTATTTGTAAATACGTGAGGTTCTTGATGTAATGGGTCTACAATGTGAAATAAAGCTGACTCAGCAAATGAATACAATGAACTGCATTCAAAACAATTGCCATCTGTTTTTTTATATCCTTTCCTGTTGAAGCTGGAAGGCTGATTTTCTTTTTCAAATGCTACAACAGAAATTAGGCATTCCTGTGTTTTAATGTGGCTGCTTTTATGTTGTTCACAACTGCAGAGTTATACATGCTGTCTCACTTTCATACTCTAAAGCTTCTTCAGATTATTTGCTGAAATGAAATATTTTCAGGATGCGGGCAAAACTGAACCTTTTATTCTTCCTTAGGGGTAAGCAGTCATTACTTAAGCCTTAGTAAATGTTGTCTTAAATAACTATGTATGTTGTACTTTTATTTGAATGATTTGTTATTGAGGTCAATTTTAACAAAGAAAAAAAGGAGAGGGATGGCAAGGGATAATAGTTATTGTTTGATGAAAAAGAAAAGAACAAGCAGGAAAAAAAAAAAAGGCTTGTAAGCTTTAATTCACACTATCTTTTTCCCAGATAAGGACAAGGAAAACTTCAGCTCAGATGTGGACACCCACGAAACATTGGCAAGGTCAGTGCTTAGGAAGTTGGACCTGATTTATTGTGCATTTCTACAACAAGGGCAGTGTTTGGAGGGTTGGATTTGATTTAGTTTTTATCACTAAAGTACTGTCAGGAGAGGAAAAATAAAACTACCATACTGTGGATGAGCTGAAATCAATAATGGTCACACAGAAGAGGTACAGTTCTCATATTTTTAGTTTGTTTCCATTTTGAGGCATGTTCAAAGACCTTGAAATTTTACATGGTATGGAAAATTCAGCCTCTCAGAGCATCTCCGTAAAATACCATCTTTGAGATGCAGTGAGTTGATAGGATCTGCTTCCTCACTGGATAACAAAACATACGTACACCTTTCAGTCTACTTAGTGTAGTCACAGCATTTTAGAAGCCTGTATTCTGGAGGTGCATGGCATCCTACTGGTGACCTATGGCATGGTTGATGGGGAAATGTTGGTGTGCTTTTTTGTTTGTTTTTTGAGTTTTAGCAGTGGTTTAAGGAGTGTATAGGGGCACATTTATTTTAGTTTGCAAATTCACTGTGGGGAGAAGAATAATGCCATTGCTCACTCTTGAGCAACAACTGTTATCTGTGCTGTCTGAAGGCAAAAGTGAGCAGTGCTTTAGGGCGCAGGCAGGGAGAAGACCCAGAGGCCATCAGAGAATGGTAGCTAGCAAAGACTATTTTAGACTTAAAGTTGATTGTAGTGATACTTAAAAATGTTCTGGTTTTCTTCATTGTTTTTCATTTTTCCCTTCTCTAGTTGGCAGCAGCTCAGGTTCACCAAACTGGACTCCTGATGTATCTGATACTTATGGTTCTGGTTGCACTTCATCTTTCTTCATCTGCTGTAGCTGTTTTGCAGTTCATCTACTTAAAAGGAGGTGGAAAAGATTTTGCAGATTAAGGGCTGGCTCAGTTCTTCCTCTGACTATCTGGAAGAATTCTACTGAGAATAAAACTGTACATCTGAAAAATATGTATGCTGCTTTCAGAATGCTACTTCCACTGCTTCTATGAAAATACTTTGCTTCTCTTTTGCACTCTACATGGGTAATTATCAAGCTATTCTTTAGCAGAAGAGAGGGTGATCCAGTCTCTGTCATCAACCAGTAGTTGGGTCATTTTTGATGACAGAATACTGCACATGAAAGTTTCTTTGAACATGTGTGTGTTACCAGGTATGCAGCATTCTGCTCTACTGAATCTGGGTTCCTGAATTGCATTGAGTCTGTTTCTTACAGGAAGAAATCATAGAATTGAGTTGGAAGGGACCTTTACAGGACATCCAGACCAACTCCTCTGCAATGAATGAGCACCTACAGCTCAGAGCCCCATCCATCCTGACTTTGAGCGTCTCCAGGGAAGGGGCAACTACCACCTCTCTGGGCAGCCTGTGCTGGTGCCTCACTGCCCTTACTGTAAAAATTTTCTTCTTTATATCCCATCTAAATCTTTCCTCCTTTAGTTTGAAACCATTTCCCCTTGACCTGTCACAGCAGACCCTGCTAAAGAGTCCACCCCCTTCTTTCTTACAGCCCCTGTCTAGAGTCTGACAGGCTACTCTTACTCTCCCTAGAGCCTACTCTTCTCCAGGCTCAAAAGCCCCAGCTTTTTCAGCCTGTTCAAGTAGTGGAGGTGTTCCATCACTTAAATAATTTTTGTGGCCCTTGTCTGGGGCCATGCTCCAACAGATCTGTGTCTCTCCTGTACTGAGGACTTTGTCTGTACACAGTATTCCAGGTGAGGTCTCACAGTGCAGAGCAGAGTGGCAGGATCATCTCCCTTGCCCTGCTGGCCATGCTTCTTTTCAAGATCATATGGTGGGTTTTCTGGGCTGTAAGCACATGTTGCTGGCTTGTGTCCAGCTGACAGTTATAAAGACTACCATAGAAATGACAGAAAAGGTATGGAGGTGCAGTGATTGAGAAGTTGAAGTCTGATGGCCTGAGAGGCTTTCTTCCATGAATAACTAACATATGGAGCCAGAGTGAGGCCACAAATTGCAGAAACAATTTGCTTTGCCAATGATCCTTAGAGGGGGGAAGTTGTTCTGGCTCATCTAAATAGAACTCCTTTTTTGCCTAATAAAATACAAATTTCAAGATGAAACTTCAGTGTTAAAAGATATTTCATTTATTTATACGTATTTGACTCTTTTCTCATGAAGTGTGCAGTTGTCTCAAAGCTTCTCCTTTGCAAACCTAAGCAGAGGTGACAAAACAGTGGTTCAATTTTGATTGCATACAAATTGTAGAGGAACTTATCTTTGCCATTGGTATGTGTGTGTGCATATAATTATTTGGCACTGTGTGATGACTGTTCAGCCAGTTTTTACTGCAAACAAGGATTGTATTTTGTCACCAAGGCGATTTCCTTCACAGCAGTCCCAGGGTCCAGCTTATGGCCATAAATCACTGACATGTAACCAAACCACTGAATTTAGAAAATACAGGCTTTTTTTTCCCCCCAGATTTCAAGAGCTCTCCTTGTTTCTTATGAGTTCCAGGACCTGTGGTTGAAAATGATGGCCATTACTTTCTCTTTGATTTCATCTTTGTGACAATATCTGATGGGGTAGGGCTTCAAATTAAGCATGTGGTGGCTTGTGCTGTAGCTAATTATCTTTTCCATTTGTTACCTAGTAGAATTTTGTAACACTGGGATTTAAAGTTTGTCAATTTTCACTATCTTTCTTCCTAAACTTGGACGTTTCTGCCAAGGCCAACAATGAAATGAGCACATTAAAATAATAAATCTCCAGTGAACAGACTAAGTTATTTACTTTGGATGAACAAGACTACATGTAAAACTGGGGAGTGTTTTGGGTTGATTGGTTACTGGAGGTGGGAGTGCTCTAAGAGTCAAATGCTTTTACAACAAGCTTTAGTTGTGGGAACGTTTGAGTCTGAAACGTGAAAGAATGCAGACCTTTCAAAATATGGTATGTGAGAAAAATGTATGATTTAGTGTTTCCATTTCCATAGAGGAAATAGCAGTACTTTGTTTCAACCAAATGATAAATTTCCTTTAGTCATATGATGAGGGAAATAAATACCCTCTAATTTTTGTCATAGCAGTTAAGAGAAAAGTTTAGGTATCTTAAAAATAACCTGCTAATAGAAGGACTTGGTTATATTAGTCATTAGTCAGACGATTACATTTTTTCTCTTTTTAGAGAAAACTGCTCTAAAAAATAAATAGAACTGTTAATCAGAACTTGAGATGGGATTCTGTGTTCATTTGCACTGTCAGACCAGTTGTAAGCATTACTACTTGGACAAAACTATGGTTGTTTGTTGAATAATAATAATAATGGGATTGCAGTGCTTTGGTAAGACTGTTTTGGTATATGAGATTTTTGACAGCAAGTTTTCTGAAATGTATGTTCTTCAGTATGTCATACAGCTTTCCAATTGTGTATTGTAGGGAAACATGGACGGAAAAACTCTATGCTCCATCTGGGTACTTCTTAGAGTTCTACGTGTGGGATTGAAAACTGATAGAACTAGGAAGGGCTTTTGTATGTCTTGGTAAATAGCACTGAAACATAATTAGGTGCGATAATTACATGTGGCCAGAGATCAATAATAATCATTGCTACCTTTATGTCTCTCTTGTCTAATTTTTTGCTACTTAATCCTAAGAACAGGAAGGTTTTCTGAAACTGCATGAGATGTCAGAACTTTGTAGGGAGAAAGTGAACTGAATTTGTAGGTTATTGAGCTACCTGGTGCTTAAGATGGCTGAATCTTAGTATACTGCTCAAAAGTGGGATCTGCAGCGCTGATTTCCTTGGAAATGGAAGTAGTTGTTTGAGAGCTGAAAGAAGATTCATACTTGTGACTCTGTCTGGAATGAGCATGGCTGGCTTCTGGCAGCTTTCTGTCTTGGTACTGCACAATGGAAGGCTCAGTTCAGTTTGAGAGACTTAATTATGTGATGTTGAAGCAGTTGTACTATTTCCAGTGACACAATTTAAAACCTGCTTCCACAAAATTATACATCAGTGGGATGATCGTTGCAATTAAAGTCAAGAATGTCCTTGTATGTGTTGTGGCATAGTCAGAATTCTATTTGATGGAGTCTGACGGAGGCGTGTGGTCTTGAATTAGTATCCTTTCATAACAAATATGTTGCAGGTCTCTTAAATGTGCAGAAAAACATGAGGTGCGTTATTGAAATTTAAACCTTTATTGCATTTGTAAATAAGCATTCTTCAGTAATAATAATATTTTTAAAAGTATGCAGTTCAACAAGCTTTGAGCTACTGCATAAATCTCTTTATGAGCTGCTTCTTGGTCTACTTCTCATTACGTACCATAATTGTGTGGCCTGGCTTGCTTCCAGTAAATTGCCTCTCTGGCCCTGTGGCAGTCCTACTACCATCTCTTACTCAGCTTCTCTTCACAGGAAGAGTCTGAAAAAGCATAGTAAGGGGAGAGATGACCAGTGGTTACCATACACTTACGGGGAACCCAGATGGGTTGCGTAGTCCTCCAGAGGAAAATCCCGTGCCTTGAAGAGAACATACACCAATTACCCCTTTGGTAACTCTATTAAAAGATGTCTTTTTCAGGTGCACACAGTTAAATTTTAACCCTCCAGTCTATCTTTGCTAAGTTACTTGCTTGTTGCAGAAGGCCCAGAGGTTTTGTATTTTAACTGGAAGAAATGTCTATTGAATGCGTGTTGAATTTGGAAATCTGATTTGGCTCAATTAAAATGTGATTAAGGTTTCTGTCTCCATTGTAGAAGCTGTTAGTGCTCTGGAGAAACATTAAATGTTGAAGGCTGGCCTGCTGGTTTTGGCTGAAATAGAGAGAAATATGCAATGCTCTGAGAAATTCCAGGACTCCCACTAGGTCAAAAATTTTCTCTCAACTGTAGCATTTCATCAAGTTTCCCTAGTAACATGTCTCAATGTATCACAATCATGATTGCTTGGAAATCCACCAGCTCTGCAATGAGCTGAGAATATTTATTGCAAGTGCTAGATGGCATTCTCTTAGTAGAGATCTGGTTAGTTATTTCCATGCATCCCAGTTTTGGAGTGAAGTTGTTTCATTTGTCTTACTGTACGTTACATGCTTTGGATTAGACGAATTCAGTTATATGAGTATTTATCTGCTGTAATTAATTACATTGTCATTAATTAACCAGTCTTACCATTTAAATCCAAGCTAAATCACAAGTAAACAATACCTTGAGAAGCTCTTGGCATAATTTGAAACATTGTGCAGATCTTCAAAACCCCTGTGTTAGTCACCTTGTTATAACCAGACTAATTGGGAACTCGGTGATACGACTTGTTTCAACACATCTAATTTTTACAAGACCCATTTCAAGCTGATCTTTTTATGGAATGTGTTTTTTGTTTTTCCAGGTAAAAATAAAGAAAGCTTTACTTGAGGTTTGTGGTGCACCTGTTCTCTGCTCTAAAACTGGCTGACAGCATAGCTGAAATCTCACAGCAGACATTTCCTGGCTTTGGTACAGTGTTTTCAAGCAAGCTGTTAAAAGTGGTCTAGCAAGTTGTTATTTCAGGAATCATTTTCAACTGAAGGAACAATGTGATTTACATAAAGAACCAAGAAACTCTTCCTTTGCTACCGCTCTGTTCTAAAGATGTCCTTAGTGTAGTAAGTCTGTAGTAAAATGAGCCAGTTATTTCCCATGGAGTCAGAGTATGTTTAGTATTTTTTGACTCTGTGATGTGCTGAGGCTCCTAGACCCCTTATTCTAAGGTGCATGTTTCAAGACCATCTCATGAGTCTTCACAGTGACCTGATGTACTGTTTCTTCATAAGAAACTTGGTCAGCAGAGGTGGTATATTTCATACCGTGGGCCTCCCAGCATCATTTCCATGTGGTAAAGGGTTATCAGTTTTCTTTTCAATACCCTGCCTGTTCTGTCCTCATAGAAGCACTCATGATAGTGTTCAGAGATGGTTTTTGACTTCATGGCTTCTTAAAAAATAAAAATATAAAAGGTCTTAAATGTAGCTAATAGGACAACAATAAACATTAACTGGGACCCAACATTTGGACATCTTGGGCCTATTTAGTTCCTGAGTCCAGTTAAATCACATGCAAGGCACCATAGTGATGTTGTGGAACTCGTACAAAGGGAGCTGCCAGAGCTTGTGCCATGAGGATCTGTGTGACAAGGAGCATCCTGCTGGGCTCACAGCTCTGTCCAGTGCTATAACCACTAGAGGACACTGCCTCATTGTTACTGGGGAAATTAATCATTACACGTTCAAAACTACCAAATTGCAGAAGTCTTCCTTCTGCAGGCTGAACTTAATCTCAGATACTATTTATTTATTTGTTTTGTGCCCTAACTATTTACAGTGCTGCCATATGCTCAGGTTCTACTTTAAGAGCTGAATCGATGCCCAGAGAAAGGCAGCTCTGCTGCTCTTCCCCAGGTGAAGACAAATGCCTTGTCTTATTGCTCTGTGTCTCTGAGAAAGTGTCTCTGGGGGCACAGCTTTGCTTCCTTTGGGAAGGAAGAAGGTGCAATTTTTTTTCTTCTGTCTTCACCTCAGACAACTTTAACAGCTTCCAATCTAGGTTGTCTGGCAAACAGTGTTTTTTCTCTGTATTTGGAGCCAAATGGGAATACAGAGACATTTCAGGGAAAACTGACAGAATTTGCTTTCATTGACTCCAGTAATTATAAACTGATCCCATGGTAGCAGCAGGACTGCATCTAGACTTTAAATACCATGATTATGTTCATAGAACTGCTCCAAGAATGAGGAATATCTCAAAAAGCAGTAAATATTCTTGTGTTTAATCCTACAGCTCGTTCCCGTTGTACCACGAACTTACTGAGTTTTGTACGTCTTTCCTCATGAATCAGATAAATGCATCTCCTCCACGAGCTGCCTATTTTCTTGTATACTGTGCATCACTTCCCCTGCAGATTGGAAAGAGGAAATTTGCTGGTTAAATTACAGAGCTGGCTCCGTTATGTCGTCATGAATCACTGAGATGTCTGAGATTGAATTCAGCTCTGATAAAGTGGTGTTATAGCAGTGAGGAAATATGATGGTCTGGAAGTATTCATCAGTCAATTCCTATGCTGTGTCAATACTGGTATGCCCATGTGCATTGTATAGAAACTGCTTACATTTATCTGCAATGCATCTTGCTGATTTTCAGCATCTCCCTCTGTACAAGATCTCCAGAATGTTCCCTTTATGTGGAAAGTCTTGTATTTTATTAATAATGGTGATGCAAAGAACCTAAAAGAGGAGCCTAGAAGGAAAAAAATAGAATTTTTTCCTCCATAAATGACTCTTACAGTCCAGATGTGCATACAGAGCTTGATCAGTTCTTTACAGCTGGAGGTCCAAGCCAGCTGCATAAGCAATGAAAAATGTAAATCGTTTGTGCTCACATTATTAGGAGAGCACTTGGGTTTGTCTCTAAGACTTGCTATAGGACTGCATCAAATTCTCTTCTGTGTTGCATCAAATAACATGGTGGGGTTTTTTTTGCTGTGAGGTCAGTACTGTCTCTGCAGTTTGACCTCTAGTTGTACCTCCCAGGCCTGCTGCTCACACAAACTGGTATTTTTGTCTTGAATCAGCTCTTCTCTCTGGAGGTGTCACTTCTGGAGTTAGCACAGCCCCCAGCTGCTAAGATGATCTCTGCAGTTTGACTAATATGTAGTGCTGTATCTTCTTCCATTTCAGTGGGCCTAATGTTAAAGGAGAGAACCTGAGTGCAGCAAACTCAGTGAAATCTGTAATGAAAGAAGCCATAAATGAATGTTTGTTAGGTTCTGCATATGTTCATAGAATTAATAATAAAATAATAGAAGTCAGTAAGCAGTCTAGCTCAGTACAACTGTGTAGACGAGCTGTAAGACCTCAGTGTGCCACAGCTGGAGCAGATCACCCAGTAAGGAAGATGTTGGCTGCACTGTGGGATGGCAGGCTGGGCTAATGGGGGTTGAGTCCTGTCCCTGTGCCTGGCACTCCTGCAGAGAGCCCTGGTGGAGAAAGGATGGGCCTTCATTGGGATCTGTTGCCTTCTGCTGTCAAAGCAGTTCTGCTGCTTGTGGTGATTAATTTTTTGTATCATTGAGAGGGCTCTTCTTCCCCTTTGGATCAATTGTAATTCTTTCCAGGACTGTGATTGCCTCATGTGTCTCACCGAGGGATGCCCGTGTGCTGCCAGAGAGCAAACCAGATCCATGCAGTGTGTGAGTGAAAGCCAGGTATGCTATATATGGCAAAAAGTTATAAAGCAATTTTTAATAATCTTGTCATTTACAAGATTATTGTACAAGAATTTTTATGTTCTACTCAGTATTGAAATCATGGAATGACTTTTTCAACTGTGGTGTAATTATCAGCCATTTCATAGAACAGAATGGCTTGGGTTGGAAGGGACCTCGGGATCATGAAGTTCCAACCTCCCTGCCACAGGTAGGATTGCCAGCCACTATATCAAGTATTGGATCAGATTGTCCAGGATCATGTCCAACCTGGCCTTGAACGCCTCCAGAAATGGGGCATCCACAACCTCTATGGGCAGCCTGTTCAGCACCTCATCACTCTCTCAGTAAAGAACTTCCCACTGACATCCAATCTAAATCATCCTTTCTGTAGTTTAAAACTATTCCCCCTTGTCCTATCTCTATCTACCCATGTAGAAAGTTGATTTCCTTCATGTTTATAAACTCTCTTTAAAAATTGTAAGGCTGCAACGAGGTCTTCCCATAGCCTTCCCTTCTCCAGCTCCTTCAACCTATTTTCATAGGAGAGGTGCTCCATCCCTCTGAGCATCTTTGTAGCCCTCCTCTGGACCCTCTCCAAAAACTCTGCATCTTTCCTGAGTTGGGGCCCCAGACCTGGATTTAATACTCCAGATGAGGCTCATGAGGGCAGAGCAGAGGGGGGCAATTGCCTCCCTTTCCTTGCTGGCCCCCCCTCTTCTGATGGAATCTGGGATACAATTAGCCTTCCAGGCTGCAGGTGCACACTGCTGGCTCATGCTCAGTTTTTCATCAACTAAGATCCCTTGGTCCTTCTCAGCAGGGCTACTCTCAAGTTCTTTTCCTGTTTTATATATGTATCTGGGATTGTCTCAATCCAAGTGCAAAACCTTGCACTTTGTTTTGTTGAACCTCTTTAGATTCATGTGGTGTCACCTTTTGGGTTTATGAAGGTCCCACTGGATGGCATCCTCTCCTTCTGCTGCATCAACTGCACCACTCAGCTTGAGGTCATCAGCAAACTTGTTGAGGGTGCACTCGATCACATCATCTGTGTCACTGATAAAGATCTTAAAGGTCCCAAGACAGATCCCTTGGATACACTACTTGTCATTGGCTTCCACCTGGACAGAGCCATCGACCACTACCCTCTGACTGCAATATTCCAACCAATTCCTTTTGCATTGAATAGTCCCTCCTTCAGGTCCATATCTCTCCCACATAGAGATGAGATGCGGTAGGGGATCATGTCAAAGACCATGCAGAACTCCAGGTGGATGACATCAGTTGCCTTCCCTTTGTCCACCAATGCTGTTACTCCATCATAGAAGGCCACTGGAATAGTCAGGCACAATCTTCCCTTGGTGAAGCAGTGCCTATTGTCACAAATTACGTGCTCACAATTTAAATTATGACATATGTATTACAGGTTATCCAAGTTCTATTTAATGTTTTTGTTCTTGAAGCAGATAGCATCATTGGCTAATAGCAACAAAGGCTGAATTCAGTTCTTCTCTGCTCGTGGCTGTAAGCTGCGTTCAGCTCAGTCAGTGTCTCACCAACTGCCATGAATTGCAGATGCAAACAGTGCCCAGAGACAGCCCAGGTTTCTCAGCGCTGTGGTTCCTGCAGGAACTCCACGTGCTGCAAGTGCTTCAGATATTGCCTGACAGCCTCACCTTCAACCACATCCCTTCCTTCCAGAGGTCAGAGCTGCAGCTTCCCTGTGGTCTTTATGCCTGGCATTTGTTCAAATCCATGAATGAACCACAGGTGTTCCTGGCCCAGCTCCTGCATTGCCTGTATTCATGGCCCTCGGTTCTCCGTAAGTGCCAGGCCAGCAGTGAGTATGCAACCCCACCAAGAGGCACATGAGAGACTCATGTTTGGGCTTGGGTATACACTACTGGATTCTGCTTAAACTTCACTCTCTGTCAAATAAACAATGCTGGCAGTGGAGCCTCCTGCTACATGTAGTGCTTGCCCTTGGTGGTGCCACACTGCATCTTCAGCTTCCAGCACTGCTGCTGATTCCTCTCTTGTTTTGTCCTGAGATCAATAAAAGCTTCCATTCATGAAGGACTTGAGCCTCAATGAGTGAAGTGGCCAAACCCGTGAGTCAAGCTTCTTGTCTCTCTCCAGCAGTAGGACCTCATGTTGGACGTGCTTGGCCTTAACCCCAATGGCTGTAGGTGCTTGGGGAGCTCAGCAGGGGAGCAGGGTGGGCAAACTAGCAGGACCTGAGCCAGGTGCTTCAGAAGAGCTGCTGGAGAAAGTGCTGACATTTCATTCCTGACAGCTTTGTACCTTGGGCCAGATCTTAGCATGGTGTAACCTCCGCTGCCAAGAATTTTGGCATTCATTTGGTGTATGGGAGTAATTCAGAGTAGGTGGAGATGGTGAGAGGAATGAACCCAGATGAATTTTAAAATGCTTTTCAGTGAAATTTTGCTATAGAGCCAGATGATGTAGAGAGATCAAGCTCTGATGATTAAATTCCATGTTTAAATAAGTAAACATATTAGAATTTAGCACTAAATCATGGTGACATTATATTAGGCCCTGAAAAGACGATTGAAAAATTACTCATTTAGCAATATTCTAGAAATTATTTAATGTGCCTGCCTTTAATGTCCTCTGACATGTACTTTTAAAGTGATTTATCCGTGCATTCATAGGCATCTTCTTTGCTTGGAATACAGCAGAACCAGGTCTTTGATATTTAGATCCGCATAATTGTTCTTGGAATTTTTCTCTGGATGAAACTTCTGGCACTGATGATACTTTATGTGAAACAACCCTGTATCTGGATCTCATTCATTACAGATCTTGAAAATAAATGTCTTGGCTTTCAGATAGGGACATGGAACTCTTTAAATGGTGAAATTGATCTATAAATGTGCATGCACATTTCAATATACATTCCTTAAATATGCACAGCTTATGTAAGCATCAGATCTGTGTATTATAGGTAAGTGAAAATTCTAATATTTTGCAGGCAATGGACTATGCACCTTTATATTAAACTGGGTTTGTATAGGGTAATATTTGACAAATAAATAGATTTCCTTGAATTCTGTTTTGGTTATGAATAGAAATTAAAAGTGGTCCTGTGCATTCAGTGCTGTCAGCTCATTTCTGCTGTTTTTCCTGTGTTTTGTACTGGGGTGCTCAGCATTTGTACTGGGTTCAGCAGTACCCAGTGCTCTTACAGGGAGTGCTGAGCTCCTACAGGGAGCTGGGATCCTTGGGATCCTGGCACCTGGGCTAAGAGCTGTGCAAAGGTAGAGCACAACAGCCTCTGCCTGTTCACAAATTACCACAATGCAGCAGCAACATAATAGCTTTTCTGTCTCTGATCTGGATGTTTCTAATTCTGAAAAGGTGTTTATGAGCTGTGACTCATCTCACTGCACAGCAGCGTAACTACTTGTAGTGTGCAGCATTTAACTCCTCCATCTATCACTTCAGGTTCAGGTTTATCACTGCAGTGGGAGGGCAGTTCCTGGAACCAACACTGTGGATGCACCGCTGGGTGGAATGGAGTGCAGTACTGGGTTGTACTAAAGCAATGCAGCTTATATGAGCAGAGCTCGGCAATTCCAACTCAGAACCTTTTATGCTGGCTTTTGTCTCAGGCTGACCTATGGCATCAGCACTTAAGGACAAGAAGTGAATTCAGTCTCATGTCTGCGCTGCCTAATGCCTGGCCTCTGCCGAGTGTACCATGACTGAAGCCAGCGGTGGTCATGTGTTTGCTTCAGACTATCATAAATTGCCTTTATTAAGGGCAGATTATATCAATTTCAGCCAAGTCTTTATCAGTGCTTAGGCCAGACACCAGATAAACAGTTGGCCTCAGTCCTGGCCTCTAATAAAACTGTACATGAAACTGGATCTCAGCTTTCCTCTTTGAGCACATGCTTAAGCAGTGAGCTGGTTGCTTGGTGCTGTAAGCTGGCAGTGCTCCTCAGCCCCGCTGCCCTGGCTCTCCTGAGCTCTACAGTTGGGGTTGCACCACACTTCTATACCCCCCCAAGGCTTGGCTGTGCCCCACGTGCACGTTTTGAGGCAAGCTTCTCTCAACATCTGTTCTTTGAGTTCCCTGCGTGTGACCAGAGGCACCAGGAGAAATCTCCTACAGTGGGGAAGCAATTCCCAGCTGTGCTGTGGTCACTCCAGTGGGGCTTTGCCCAGCTACGTGTGCCAGCCTTGGTGCCTGGCAGCCAGAGCCCCGATGGCACACATGGCACAGTGCTGTGGGGCTGCTCTGCAGAGCTCTGAGCTCTTGCCTTTATACACTGTTTTTCAGGTATGTATATATATTTTTCAAGTCTTTGAAATGCTTTTTGACATCTGCTCTTTATTACACAACAATATAGCTGTCCTTTTAGGAAAAGAGATATTTTTCATTATCCATTTCAAAGCTAACAAATGTGTTTCAAAATGCCTACAATAGCTGGGAGGGATTTGTTTCAGGTGATTTGCCCATGTGGTTGAGTCCGACTATAACACTGTTTTCTGTTCCATGTCTATGTTTTAGCTTGGTTGTAACTAAGCAGGTTTCTATCAGAGTTATGGATTTGCTTTTATTGAAGAAATTCTTTGACTTAGTCTGGATGGATGATGTGCAACTGGCAGGGAACCCAAACCGTGAAGCACTGGTTTACTGAGCTCATCTGCACAAAGGTTGTGTCAGGACCTTGCATGGACAGCGCGGTCATGTTGGGGATTTTCTCCTTTCCAGTGAAGGTGTCACAGACATTTCAATTTTTTTTAAGCCCAAGAGAAAAAACTATCTAAGCTTTGAAAAAATATTAAGTATTATGAGAAAAATTTTAAAACAGACACACAGCACCAAAAACTTGACCTCTCTTTCCCCCTTTCGTATCACACAGCATCAGTTGAGCTTCTTCCTCTGTAATGCCAGAGCTGAGCATAGGACCTGGTCTGCTTTCCAAAAGAAGGATATAACAAAGTCATGGCAAAGAATATGTAGTCTGGAATGATAAGAGTGCAACATGTCCTGAGCGATTATCATGGCACCACCTCAATGATGCATCCAGGATGTGCTACAGGTACCTCTCCCCTTTTTCCTGCACTGCTCCTGCTCTGCTCAGACAGGCAGAGGAGCCCCACACTGCTCAAGGCTGTGTGAGCAAGAGGTCTTGCTGCTGCAAGTAGGGCGGGGGTTTCTCTTTGTCCTTGGCTTGGGTTTGGTTGTTTGTCTCAAGGAAATGATTAAGCTTTTAATGTACGAGGAAAGGGAAACGTTTCCTACAGAAAATGCTAATGAGCAGAGCGTTTCATTTGCTTCCAGAAATTTGTAGTTTTTAAATTTTATATATGTAAGGGAATTTTTCTTATCTCTGGGACAGCTAGAGGACATTTCAACCTTAAAATATGAATTTCCTTCTTAGCGATATTTAACATATATTGAAAAGAAAAAGGCTGGGCTGTATGTATGAACAGCAATGTCGTACCCTGAAGCACACATCCCCTTTTGACCATGTGAGTCAGTCCATGTGCAGCTGAGAAGGTAATACAGGTTTTTCTATACCTGACACCTTTTGCAGATGTAGTGCTGGGGCTTCCAGCTCATACCACCATCTCTTTGGTAGAGAAAAATAAACAGTAGGAACAAAAAGAGAGATTCTGTAAGCAGTGAGCACCATGCTGCAAGAATGTGGATAGCAGTGTGTCTTATATTTGCTTTAGACATTATTTTCAGTCATATGCAGAGCCCTTATCTCAGTCTGTGTTCACAACCCAAGAGCAGGAGTTGAGCATTCCTATGTATGAAGTTTGTTCCATTACAGATACCAGCATCATGAGGGCTGCTCATCTTCTGCAATACAGGAGAACAGTCAAGGTGAGCCTCCTGAAAACTGGCATTAATTGGAGATGCACAGCTGTCTCAGCTTGATTACTGAAAACACCCAGCGAGTTTGATCCCTCTTGTCTTTTCCAGTGTACAGAACACGTCTGAGGAACAAAGAGACAGCTGCTGCCCTCATAGGCAGGGGCACTTTGGTTGCAAAGAATTCGACTTCCTCATCCCTGTCCAACATATTTTGATAAGATGAGAGACAGTGTGTCCCTGGGCTTCGTGCTGCTCGGGGCTGCTACTCAGTGCTCTCAAAATACCCTGAGGTTATCTCCCAAGGCAAGGAGCTTTGTATTCTGCACCTCAGAGCTGGGCTCCCGCCCTCTGCTTGCTCTGATCTGCTCTCTTAAGAATTCTGGTGTCACAACCCTAGCACATCGGATGGAGAAAATAAGAGCACTTTGTACTCTAAATTTACGACACAGCAGGGTGCAACTGGCTTTAAGCAGGACAGGGACCAGAACTGCAAGGCAACTGAGTTTGACCAGTTCTTGATGGCCAAATGCTACGTGCTGTATTTAATCATTGTGGCTGCTGCAGACATGGAACAAGGCAGCAGCTCTGCATGAGTCCTGGCCCACCAGCAGCACTCCTGCCTCCAGCTGGCAATGTCTCACTGCGAGGCACCTTCTTGTTCTCCCTGCAAGGGAGCTCGCTGCCCTCCTTGTGCCTTGCCAGGTATTATTTCTGATCCCTGTGTGCACACAGCTCCATTGCAGCGTGGTACAGTTATCCTGGAAGTGATGGGTTACCTGCAGCAAGGGCCCTCTTTCAGGCTGCTTTTTTCCATCAGTAGTTTCCCTGTTCAGACGGAGAACATTTTGCTGTAGTTGGCTCTGAACGCCAGGCACACAGCAATATCAGTTTAGACCTAATCAAAAATCTTAAAAATGAGAGTTATCATGTGGCTTTGCATGGCTCCAGATGATATCTACAGGCTGTGGTGTTGTATCTTGCTGCCTTTAAAGATTATGGTGCTTCTCCTCTCTCAAGGGATGGCAGCTTACAAAAATCCTTCAGATAGTGTTGCAATCTGAGGAAACAGTTCTACAGTTCAAGTTGTTAGCATATTTTTATTAAGTAACTCATTCTTGTGACGATGAGAACATACAGTGCATTTATTTTTTCTCCAGGGTAAAAGCATAGTTTCGTTTCTGGAGAACAGAACTCTGTCAGACCTGCTGCTTGCAAGCTGTGCAAAGAAGGGAGGGAGAAAAATTTGCCATTGACTAATTTAAGGGGTCTTCTAATTGTCTCCAACATTCAAACAAGCTTCTTTTCATACATCTATTAGGCCCTTTTCTGTGCTAAATGGGTCCATTAAATGGTTTTCCAGGTCTTATGCTGGCCAGACAGCTATTAAAATCAATGGGAGTTTAGCCTCTGAAAGAAATGGAGCATCAGTTCTTCTGCCAGGTGAAATATATCATTCAACCAAAGCTAAACCCTTATTCAGAGAATCTAACAAGCTAATATAAACAAGGGCATAAAGCTTCTCAAATCCTGCTGAGCTGTTTTTGCAGAAGTAATGTCTTTTACAACACTAAAGCAAGTTCCATGGGAAAGCAAGCTGGGAAGTACATGTGGGCAGCTGCCTCCTCTGGGAGGTAGGGCTGGGGCTGCCATAGCATAGGGTAGACTTAATGCATGCTGTGTTGGAAAGCTGTCCCAAGATACTGGTGCATTACCTGGCCAGAAATACGGAATGGGTGAAGCATATTTGCAAACACACCAGTGACAAATATCCTCAAAAGTAATCTTAAAAGTGACTACAATTGTCAAGATTGTAACTTCCTTGGTTGTGACCAAATTTCCAGCAGGTTAATTCTCACTGCCATGTGTTAGCATGTCCTACAGTAGAAATTATGAATTAGATGCAATTTTCTTTTCTGCAGAAAATATCAGAATAATTTTCATTTTCCAGAAAAGTAGAAATAGTTTGACATGGTGACATGGTGATAATGACATGGTGAGGAAAAGTGGGACAACAGTTCTGTTTTTATCATGAAAAAAATTTATTTTGTCATTTCATTGAAAACAAAACCAACAAAAACAAAAACAAAGACAGTAACTAACTTCATATTTTTAAAGACTTTTTTTCCCCTATTATTTTTTGCTCCTGTTTTTCAAATACAAAAGACCAAACTCTCCCCCCCCCCCCCAAAAGAAAACCAAAAAAACCCAACCATCCCAGAACCATCTCGCTTAAGAAGTAAATGATCTTTGAAAGCACTACTGCTAGTGGCTTTGCAAAAAGGAAACAAACAACACCAGAGTGATTTGATTAGAAGATGTCATCAGGCTGCTGTCCTGCCCCCAGCTGTGAGGGGTGCAAGGGTGCTGGTTCCAAGCAGGGCATGCAGATGTGTAATGGGGAGAGAATTCCCATCCGTGTGTGACTGCTGCAGTGTGAACACACATAGTGCTCACTTGCATTCTCATCAGGCTGCTTGTTTTTTGTCTACCTCTATCAAAACAGACTAGATATAGAAAAAGATTTTTTTTTCTAGTGGTTTAGAAGACAAGAATGTGCTGTGTCAGAGGGAGAGACGTTCAAGGTCAAGCTGAATGGACTCTGTGCAACCTGATAGAGCTGCAGATGTCCTTGATCATTGCAGGGGAGTTGGACTAGTCTTTAAGGGTCCCTTCTAGCTCAAATGATTCTGTGGTTCTGTTTTTTAGTTGCTTTCTATGATTCTGTGAAAGGCAAACTTCCATGGACAAATAGTTGCTAAAGGAAAAAGAGTATTTCCTCTTCAGCTAACACCTGAAGCACATTGTTTGCCCATGGATAAGCTGGGATCTTGTCTGTCTGCACGTCCTCCTCCCCTCCTGTGCTCCTGAAAAGGGGATGGCTGGCACAGCAAGGAAAACTGGTGTTCTGAAGTGGGTATGGTTTATTAGATCCACTAGTAGAGGTGTCCTCTCATTGCTGTCTCTCACTGAGTGACGTCTCTGGATCTTCTCTATGGCTCGTGCTGCTCCCATGTGTTGCTGAACCCACAGCAGCCTGTAAACGACAGCTGCTGCTATGCTTGGGATTCGCTCTGTGCAGAACATACCTCAGTACGTTCATCCTCTTCACTCATCCTTTTCCTGTGTCGTTTTTTGCCACACTGCCCACAGCGTGATAGGGAGAGACCATCCTGCTGCTCTCCAGGTGCTGGGGCCAGGCGTGGGGCAGGGCAGGCTGAGGGAAAGGAGGGCAGAAAGGGCCTTAGGGTGAATGTGCCCCTTCAGCTCGTGTCTCCTTGCTGGCAGGGTGATTCACAGGCTTACAAAGCAAACATTCTGTGAAGCTCTTTAAGAGGAATGGAAGGCTGAATGAAAAGCTGAGTCAGGATTTAAAGAAGAGAGTATACGTGTGCTCCTTCTCTGTATCGCCTATGGATTTGTCAGAAAGTGAATTTCTCAAGCACAAAGGTTTCTATTCCTCTCCAGGAAAAGCCTAATTCACTGTACCAGAAAGATGTTCACTTGAAACGCTTCTGATGTTCTCACACTGCCATTCATTAGTAGAGATGGGCTGGTTTCTTGCTATTTATATTTGATTTTTATTTGGAAACAGTAAGAGGAAAAATGTGCCCACTGTGAACATTTGGTTCACACAGATCTGTGTATTATTTCAGCTGGAAAAGTGCATTATGAATTCACTGTGGCTCTTCCAAATGAAAATCTGCACTGGTGTGTGTGCCCCATGAAGCAGGAGCTGGCATCCTTTCTGCAGGAAGCACCACATCGAGTTGCTGGGCATATTGTGTTTGTTTGCTGATTTTTTTACTGACTGCAATAGGAGAGGCCACCCAGTGTGCTGGGCAGCTTCGACAAGCTTTTAAAAACGTGTGAAACAGATTTGCTTATTCCCTGAATCAAATCAAACAAAGCAGTGATCACATAACCACACTTTAGTAAAAGCTTGCAAGTGGTGTTCAGAGATGGGCACTGTGAAGAGATCAATGCTGTTAGCCAGCTCTGCACCCTGTCCAGATCCAGCATCACAGCTTTCTGCTCTCTCATCTGGGTCTCTCTGCCTGCCTCTTCTGCTGGTTTCTCTCCTTGGGACTGTGCTCTGCACTGCTCCTGGTGGCACACTGCGAGGTGGCTGTGGCAGCACAGAAGGGTGGTCTGTGTCGTGGGAATGGTGCAGGGTTTCTGCAGCCCCCAGTTTTCCCAGTGGCACCACAAGCAGCAGCAATTTGGCTGGGCTGGGATGCAGGCACAAGGTGCTGTGGCACTGCTTTGAGGTCCACTGTGCTGTTTTTGTGAGGAGTCAGAAGGATCACGTGTGCTTGAGCCTGGATCAGAGATCTGCTTGCTTCTCTCGGGAGCATGGAGGGGTTTTGCATGGGAGAAAGAAAAAGGGGTCACAGCCTCCACAGTTCTCCCTCAGCTGTTGGAAAAGGAAGAGGAAAAACCAGAATGAAAAGAAGCCCAGTAACTAACTACCCTTCTACTTTCTCTCTTTTGTGTAAAAAGCTTAACTGATGTCTGCCGTGTTCTCCACCTCCACTGTCCACTGCACCCCAGTAAGAGGAAGGGCTACAGTGCGTGTGACTGCAGGAGGAGCCCACAGGGCATTCCCTGGGCATGAGGACAGAAGAGCCTGTGACTCCAGAGAAGGTGAGGGATGGAAGAAGGGGTGAGGAGCTGGTGTGTTGGCTGTGGGGAGAGGGGGAGGCGCCAAGAGGAGATCAATGGCTGGTGGCTGCCTGCAGGTGGGTGGTGGGCAGGGGACACCTGCAGCTCTGAAGGACTCGGTGTCCCCTTGAAGTTGGGCAGCTGGCCCCAAAGGTTTGTTTCTGCTCCTGCCAAAGAGCAGACATGGTTTGAGTTGAGTTGAGACACCTGGAGCAGGTACCAGGGTATCAGAGAAAAACTGAAGGCAGTACAAAAAATTGCCTAAATACTTCCATGTTTCCAGTAGGGTTTTGCCAGCCATTCTGAGTATTACACTTATGGATGTGGTTATGCTGTTCCCAGACACCGACCTGACTGGAGCAGCAGGAGTTGAACATGCCTGCAAGGCTCCAGCTGCCTTCTGACCACAGTGTGGGTGGTGAGTGGGCACCATCCTTCCTTCCTGAGAACCTCCCTGTGCCCCACATCCGCTGAGAAGTCCTGTGAGGGTTTGGTTTTGGGTCTCAGCCCTTGCTTCTCCTTTTGGGGTCTGATGCATGGGGCATGCGTTGACTTGAGTATTATCAGATGGAGATTTTGGGTATGGATGTTTTCCGTAGTTGCTTGTGAAGTCTGGGTCTGTATCAGTAGAACTACCTGAGTGGGGAGAGTAATAACCGCTTTAATCTTTCTTGCTACTGATGAGAGGGCAGAGAACTGGGTCACAGCTGTAGCTTGTGAAGAATGACCAGGTAGTTACAGAGAGACTCAGGGAATAATAAGCAGCATGGATTTGTCACCCAGCCTCAGAGCAGGGCACCTGGAAAACACTGCAACACAAACATCAGGGAGTTCATACACATAGCGAAAGATTTCCTGACCTTAGCTAGCCTTTCATACTCACCACACCTCTTTGTGTAAAAGCCATCACGGCAGCACTCTGCCCGTGCCGGGAGGTCTGTTTGTCCCATGCTAATGCTCTGCAAGAACACACTCTCTGTTTGTTGCTAGATTGCGTTCTCTTGGGTCCCTACCACCGAAGGAAAACAAATCTGTTTACAAGAAACAAACAGCTTTGCGTAAACTACAGCTATGAGCTGCCAAGTGCATGTTCTTCCAGCACAGAAATGCATACTTCCCCACCATAAAGAGCTCAGTACAGCTCCAGGGGTGTGTGGCTATGAGATCATGTCACTCGGGACTAGGAAGCACCAGACTGTGCCCTGTGTCTTACAAATACAGATGTGTGATGATTATCTCATGATAGCCATCAGAATTCCTGCTGTATTTATACTTCTAATAATGCATCCTCCTGAAGTTTCTCAGTTGGGATCACACTGTGCTCAGAGCTGGAGCAAACTGCTGTGCTCAGCACCTGCTCTGCTGAGCAGTGACCAGGATCCTGGTGCTGCATGTGCCATGGGAAGAAGCGGCTGTGATGAGTTCCTGAATTCCAGCAATGTGTGGAACCAGGAATTCAGATAATTTCCAGTTGGGATGATAGATACTAATGCTTAAACCACTAACATCACAAAATATGGTTGCGAGAGATTAGATAAGAATACCCTTATTGTCAACCACAATCCTTCTTCTATTACTAGATGATTACTGTTCTTTTTGTGTGTTTCTTCTTTATATATGTTCATCGTCTCGAGTCTAGGAAGGCTGCAGCTGCAGCAGAAGTAGAAGCACATGGGAAAATGACTCACCTCCCAGGGGCTAGACATGGATTTTCAACCCAGCAAAGCACAGGAAAAATGACATGAAGGTGGAGTGTTATGCTACTCGAGGAACAAAATGTCATGGCAAATAACTGCTTCGAGTCTGGTCTATTCTTTTACAGACTTGTAGGCTGTGAAGTAAGTGAAGAAAATGTGCTTATTGTTTCATTATAAAAGGTCAAGTATACTAAACACCTAAAGCAGCAAATGGTCTAAAGGTTACTGTGGTTAGAGTTGATCCATGCTCCGTTCTGCAATAAGTTTTAAGAGGTTGTTAGAGAGTAGCTTTTCCATTATGCTTCTTATAAATTACTGTGCTCTCTCCACTGAGGTGGACAAAATCCCATGCAGACCCACCAGCACTTCTTGCAGTGCCAGCACGGGAATTGCAGTGTCCTGCAGGAAGGACCTCTGCCAAGTGGTTTTGCACTGTTTGTGGCCGTGTGTGACTCAGGTCCTGCTTACATGAAGGCATTTTTCCATGCAGTTTGAGTAGCATTTGGGTGATATATCCAAAATCATCTGAAACAAAGCTTACTTCAAGGATTGCTTCAATCTGTCTCAAGTATTTTTAGGCTTCCAAAAAGTCCCCAGTGTGACACTGGTATGTGGCGGAGCCTCTGAAGCATCCCTATGCCCTCATAGTTTTTAGACTGAGCTTGGGAAACAAGCATCTCTCAGCTGAGGGCCCTTGAAGCCAGCAGGTGGGCTGCCTTCTGCCTTATGTTTGCAGAGCTGCGAGGCAGGAAGGAGGCAATGACAGTGGTTTTAGTCACTGCCCTGTCCTACAGGAGCTTTGCAGCTTCTCCCTGTGGAAATCTCACACAGAAAACCCCGTGCACCTGCACGATCCAGAAATAATGCACAATCTCTGCCCACTTCCCAAAAATCTGGCTGTGCGTGTCTGCATGCCTGTGCATGCCAAGTTCCAGCTCAAAGCGAGTTTTTGCACCTAACTTACAGCCCCCTGAAATAACTTCATGGTGGAAGCAGTGACATAACTTTCAAGCAATGTAAACGCACCGCTATCATGCGAGCGGGCTGTGATGCTTTTACAAGGTGTGTGTGCACCTGGAGGTGTCCCCAGGGCCATGGTGCCTGGTGAGACCCTGTGGACAGGGGCTGGGTGGCTGCAGGACAGAAGGGCTGAAGGGGAGAAAGCAAAAATGGTTGGACTAGATGAGCTTAGAGCCTTTTCCAATCTTAATGATACTGTGATTCTATGAAAACCGTTCTGTAGAGCTGCTATTGAGAAGCTTCAGATAAGCTCAAGTCAGAGCTCTTACCTCCCAAAGATTGCCTTTAGCAAAGGGAGAGGAGAGAATGCTCTGTTCAGTGCATGGATCTCTGGCTTTAGAGCGCAGCAATTGCAGCATTCTTGCTGCCAGGGCTACAAAATGTTCCTGGACTGGCTCAGGTGTGCTTAGGGGAAACTGAGAACCTTTGAAGCAGCCAGGTACTGCTGGAGCAGCCCCAGTTACCACAGATTTTAACTAAAACGTAAAACTGGGCCTGTTGCAATCTTGCCTTATTACTATCAAGAGGAGAAAATGTTTCATTAACATATGATTTCTAAGTGTGCAGTTGTAGTTAAAGATGGGTTATTGACAAGAAGGGGCGCTTTTTGGCTAATTGGCTGCTAATTGATTTATAGACAGAATCCAGCAACCAATTTGCATTGCAGAATTTGTAAGGATGAGGTGCTATTTCAAAGCTGAAATGCCTTTGAACACTGAGTAATTCTGAAATTATCCAAGAATATATGTGCCTTTTTGAAAGCATTTTGTTGTTCCCATTGCACTTATCACTGGAGTGTTGGAAGACAAGCTATTTCACAATGTATTTTTAGTTACTCAGTGTTCTAAACTGATTAACGTGGAAATGCTGAACCAAACATCAACATGAGCAAAAGGGCAGCTTTGGTTATATCTACACTTCTGCACGTATCGCTACACAAACTGTTGACTCCACAAACACACACAAACATATTACAAGTCCAGTGGAGTGATACATCTGCAACAAACATCTAATTTATTACCGAACATGTGAACAAAGGAATTAAAAAGTGTATTTGTGGAGACTCTCAAGAAAGAGGTGTCTCAAAACAGCAAGAGTCGTTGTAACAAGTCCAAACCCTAGAATCATAGGACAGTATGAGTTGGAAGGATCCTCAAAGCCCATCCATCCCCAACCTCTGCCATGGGCTGGCTGCCCCCACCAGCTCAGGCTGCCCAGGGCCCCATCCAGCCTGGAATTAGGTCCCTCCAGGGATGGGGCACCCACAGCTCTCTGGGCAGCCGTGATAGTGCCTCACCTTCCTCTGAGTAAAGAACTGCCTAAGTGTGGTCCATCCATCAAATCCATTTCTCTCCAGCTTAGAGACAAGGATGTTGCGTCAGACACTGTCAAATGCTTTGCACGTATCCGGGTGGGTATGTAATCTGCAGGGTGAGAGGAGGAAACAAGAGCCCAGTTTTGAAATCAAACTATATATTTCAAAGCTTAGCTGAGTCTCAAATGCCATCCTGCATGGCTTCTTTGACGTTCTTCTCAACTGCTGCTTTGCCTTTAGGATCAGATGTGCAACCTGTGGTATGGCTGGGTGGGAAACAGACAGCAGCAACCCCCACAGTGTTCTGGCCTTGGGTATCACCATTTAACTTCTATAATATTTTAATATTAAAGACAAGGAGCACCTGTAAAGTTAGTTTTAAAGTTTCACATTAACTGAGACTGGAGTACTGTCTGAATGCAATTTATTATTTTCTAATTGCTACTGTTAATTAGAATGGCAGGGTATAAAATTGCCTGAGTAGATTCATGAATAATGTATTACTTTTTATTAATTCAATTTTTTTTCTTCAAACTGAAATTTGCACTTTGAATGCAAACAGCTAATTAGAGAAAGGTGCTAGTGCCAGCCAGAACTTGATGGGGTTCTGAACATACCTGCTTTTGCCCTAAGTGCAGGACTGAGATTTGAGTAGGGATGTTGATCCTGCCTTAAGATGATCAGCTGAGGTTATTAATCCTGTACTGCAGCACTTCTCTGAGTGGTGCTCGTGCTGCTGTGGCTGTGCAGACTGTGGGCAGGGACTGGCTGCCCCATGCTGTCCTCACAGCACGTGCTGGGCAGCTGACCTCAAGCAGAGACTTAGGAAGCCAGGAATAGAATCACAGAATCATTAAGGTTGAAAAAAGAACTCTGAGATCATCTAGTCCTACCCTCTACCTACCACCAATATTGCCTACTAAACCACATCCCTCGGTGCTGCATCTACATGTTTCTTGAACTCCTTGAGGGACAGTCACCCCACCATGTCCCAGGGCAGCCCATTCCAACGCCCAAATGCTTTTGGAGAAGTAGTTTTTCCTAATACCAACTCTGAACCTACCCTGGTGCAACCTGAGGCCATTCTCTCTTGTCCTACCACTGTTACCTGGGAGAAGAGGCAGACTCCCACCTCACCACAACCTCCTTTCAGACAGTTGCAGAGAGCATGTGTTTCCTGGGGAGCCTGGAACAGTACATGGGTGAAAGCAACTGCCTCCAAGTGGTAAGAAACAAAAGTGAGTGTCATATGTATGGTTTTTTGTGCTTTGGTTTTTTTTCCACCTAAAACCAAGTGTATTTTAGTAAACCTCTAGAGTGCTCACTGCTATAGAAGAACTCAAACTCTTGTCACAACGTTGTCTGGACCAGGTTTTTGCACGTATGTTGGCACAAAACTCTGTGCTTAAGAACAGTTGTACTTGAAACAAGCCCTGCATCTTTTATTGCAAATCTTAGGACTTGTTTACTTAAGTCTCACCATATGGGGAATTCAAAATACTGTGCACGTGTATTTACTGTGCACGTGTTATTGCGTTTGCTCCTTTAACTCCATTTCCCTTATGGCTTCACTGTCTGCAGTTCTGCTAGCAGTTCATGGTTTTTTTTCAGCATAATGCAGTATATTTGGTCATCATTTTCTAAATTTATTTTAAAATAGAAATCTACTAAGTGTCAACACGCAGAGCCATATGCACTGGTGTGTGTTGCATTTATACAAGATACACAGTATGTTCTGGTATGCTTTGTGCTCTTTCCTTCTCAGGTGAAGTAGATCAGCTCCTTTAGCAGGTGAGAAATATAAGGGAAGCAAAAGAGACACCAGGGTTTTTTATACAGGTCTGCCTTACTTCCCTCAGAACCAGTAAGACTTGAGTATTACAGCTCATTGTTATGGGCCAGGGCCTCCCTCCTTCTGTGCTGCATTGCTTTTACCTTGCTCATCACCTGGTCTTCCTGAGCAGTGTCTCCATCTCTGTTGTTTCACTGTCTCCTTTGCATCCCTCCTGAAGACTCTCGCTTACAGGAGTCTTGCAGTCAGCCACTATTAGCAGAGCAAAACTTCAACCTGAAAATTGAAAGAACTAGAAATAACAGAGCAGCTCTAAAAGGGGATCCTTAAGCTATCTCATAGCACACAGACAGGTGGTTGTGGTTGCTTTGTTTGCTGGCAGTGACTGCTGTGCTCCCCAAACACAGGATTTTAGCACCAAAGAAGCTGTGCTTGTCTTGCTGGCACAAGTATATCAGAGTCCTAAAGATCAGCTCTCTGTGACAGGGAATTTGCAGTTCTCTTCCTTAGCACTCTTTTGGCAGTACAATAGGTAATAACAGTAGAGATAGATATCAAAGTCTGGCTTTGTCATTTCTCATAAGGCTAGAATGAAAATAATGAGGAATAATTTTATTTCTCAATATGTGAATAGGGAATATTTTATAATACCATGTGATTAATTTACTTGACGAAAATGAAGTAGATTAATTTAACATATGTATTACTTCTTTCCCCAGATGGTCATTTAACCAAATAGATATGCAAACCAACAATTAGAGCATCATTTCCACTGTTTATAGTAATGTTATGCTGTGTGCTGAAACTTGGCCTGGTTAGCCAAAGGCTGGTTTGTGCAACAGCTGAGCACACAAAACAAAGCTTTTAGCAGTGTCATGGAATGATAAAGCACCATCAGTGAAAGCTTGGCCTCCTCTAGCCAAAAGGAATTTTGCCAAAAGCATTTTGATTTGGACTGAAATTTCTAACAAACTGGTGTTGGTCACTTCCATGATCTTCTCTTACTGGCTTTTAAACATGTCCAGAGGATGATGTTAAAATTGTATGATTTGTTCTGACCTGGTTCTCAAGTGGCATTCCCCTAAATGATCTTGTGAAGTCTTCGCTATTACTTTATTCTTTAGTTTTCTCAACTATTAACATGTGAGTGGCTTAATTACAAAGTCTTGTGCTTTTACTCTTGATAGTTTAGGGGCAAAATGTTATTTGGACACGAGATGACCCTTTCTTGGCTTCAAGGTGCCAATGGAAACGTTCTCCCTTCTGCTGCTATTGTTTTGGTGACACTGTCCTGCCCTACAGAAGCCCATCCTCCCTGCATTACCTGCAGGGCAGCTTGCATGCAGTGAGGCTGCAGTGCCTGATCCAGTCCTGTAGGATCAGTGCCAGGCTGCTCCAATGCCGGTGATACTCCACAGCTCAGCTGAGCTATCTGTAGGCAAAGGCCCACATAGGAATTCACATTGTCAGAGGGAAGTTTATTTTCCTGTAAATTCTGAATGCACTTTATTGGCAACAGATGGGGCCTCAGCTCGTCAGAGGCACTCTTGGCATTGACTGAACTTCCACGGTCACGTTGTGGCTGTTGAAAAGTTTTCAGAGAAGCTGCTCGATGTTTCCTCAGTAGCTGTTTTGAATTCTGTGGTAAATAATGAGCAGAGGTCTGCTGTGCTGCCATTTTTTTTTTTTTTCATGGGGTTTTAAATGGTTTTTGTGCTAAGATGAATTTTAATAATTTCTGCAGTATGCCATTAGTCAAAATGAAGCAGAAAAAAGCCAGTTATTGAACTAGACTGCTGTGATTGGAATCTATAGCTGATATATTAAAGCCCCGCTGTCATGTTTAATAATTGACTCAACCCACTGGCAATTCTGGAAAAGAAAATGAGCATTAATAATGAGTTAACTGATCATTATTTCTTTTCACCCCTTACTATTAGAACAATATCCTGTAGTAAATCAAGTAAAAAATACAATAATTTTATATCATGCATACTCTGTGCTTTTCTACCTCTTCTATTCCCAACACTACTTCTATGCAATTACTTCTCTTGTCAAAGCCTCCATTTGCTTCCTTGGTGTGCATAGGCATGAAGGGAGCCTTTATGGGATGCAAATATTATTTAAAACATCTTTGTTTTCACCTGAATCGAGGAGAAATTATCCACATTCAGACAGGCACTACTTGAAAGCACTTTCTGTGCTCTCATTGTCTTCTGTCCCCAGGCTGCTTTGGCAAAAATATGGTGATAACAGAAACACCTAAGTGAAGTGATAGGTATATTGCAACTCATGAGCCTCTCTTATGAAACTCCCAGCATTGGATTGATAAGCTTTGGCTAAATACCACCTCCAGTTGCACTTTGGCTGAGCCTCAAAGCTGTACTTGTTTGCGTCCTACAAAAGATGATGTGTGTTTGGGTAACAGTGGTCACTGGGCACAGTTTGCCTTCATTAGTTCCTGGTCTTCTGCCCCAGCCCCAGCTGTGCCTGGTGAGAGGTGTGGGCTGGGCCTGGCTTTCCATGGTGTTTTCTGAGACGTACTGCTGCAGTCCTTGCTCAGACTGATTTTGAGTGTGGTAAATGGTGGTGGGTATAGAGGCGGGACTTGTAAACAGAATTTTCTGTATGACAGGGCAATTTTTCTAGAGGTCTACTTTTAACAAGCTATTTATGGTGTGCACTAAAAATACTATGGTTTCTAGATTTTGAGAACTGCTCCAAAAATATTGCCTCCCGTTTTATTATGGTGCCTATAGCATCAGCAGCAGGTGTTGGTGGTATAGCAGTCGATGTTTAACCTTCCCACCAGTTTTCCATTGCATTTTCTTGCTGACAAAATGGTGTCTGAACTGCAGGTAAAGCAAAAGAGTGGAATTGAAATGGCACCCATTGACTTCATCGATGCTTGCTGAACATTTATGGAGATCAAACAGTGGATATGAGTACAGTGAGGCAGTGGGCAGTGTGTTGGTGGTGGCGACAGTGCCACTGGTGCAGGTTGTTAAAGCACAGGCTCTTCTTCATTGCTGGCAAAAATGCAAAGCTAACGATGAGTGACTATATTGTTGCTAATAGCCTCACATGGGATGCTCTGAGCCCTCTGGCCATGGGCACAGACTTCCTGCTCCCAGAAGATGGCTTTGGCCATGCTGCGCTGGTGGAGCTGTCAGACTCAGTCTCTCACCATTCAAGGTCCTGAGAACCTTTCCCTACTGCTTCTGGGTCTCCTGTGCAGGGTCATGCTGGGGCAGCTATGCAGAAATGCAGTGCGGGGTTTGCAGCTTCAGGAAGGACAAGCTGAGCATGCTCCCAGAGCCACAGCTCCTGCTCTGCACTTATCAGCACAGGGAGCATGTTCATCAGTTCTCTGAAGGGCATTGAGCTGTAGCTCTGTTTCAGATTTTCCCAAGGAAATCTCTCTCCATGAGAGGCTGCCCTGAGGTCAGCTTCCTGTTAGCACAAGGGCAACAGGAAAATGTCTTCCAGCGCTCACCTTCCAAGCCTGTGATAAATGGAGTGATGAAATCCAAGGAAAGCCCCTGTGGAAGTCATTGTCCCGCAGTTTGAGAAAGGAAGCACAAAAGAACTCCCTGAACTTACTAACTGGTGGTAGGGCTGACAGAAGAATGTGTGGATGGATGTGGGGGATGTGCAGGGACGTGAAGAAGGTATCAAGGTATCTTCAGAAGGACCAGAATAAATGTTACTTTTCTGTACAACTCCCTTTATAGTGAAGCTAGCTATATTAATATCCCTAACAGTTTGAAACAAGTAAATGACTCAGTGCATTGGAGGATATTTACTCGCTAAAGTTTCTTTAGATAAAGCCCCCTGATACTATGTTATCTGACACTTCTTGCTTTTCTATATTCAGCAGGGTCCAAAGTACAAGCCTTTACTCTGGGAACCATTGCCAAGGAGATGATTATTCATTAACGGTGGGTAAGGAAAAATTGGCTTAGAAAAATCTCACATCTCTGGGGGGAGTCTCTGCGTTAATTTTCTGTCAAACTCCTCTTGGTATTCTGTGTAAGCATTACTCCAAATTAATAATGCAAAATAACTAGAAAGTTGCAGAAACCCCAAGGAGAACATTGCATTTTTTTAGCCGAAATGAGCTTAATTAATATTGTTTGATGCATCCATTTGTCCCCAAAATCTGCTGAACTATTTCTGGCACAGGTACCTGAATAATTACTTCACTATGCACTTTATATAAAAAATATAAAGGACATTTTATCTCTCAATTAGAATTGGTGGAATAGTAATTGCAAATAGGGTGTTTGATTAATTTTCACTATCATTACTGAGTATGTTTCTTATGAATAAATGCCTTCATTAATAAATCAATTTTATAGAATATAAATACATTTTTGGGAGGTACTTCCACCACTCACTGAAGTAATTGTTCTTGAATACTTCTACTCCTTAAGCCAGCTGTATTCTATTAAGAAAGATACGAACCATAGTTCAGGGAAAGACTGTATATTTTTAAAGCCCGCAGGGAAAACTTCTCTCGTATCAAAATTTTTTCTATAGATATAATCTTTGACCTGGAAGCCCCGTGCTCTGAGCACAGTCTGTGAAGCAACAGGGCCCTGGGGACAACCACATGTGTGTTTGAAGCCCAGCGCTGCAGGGAGGTGAGGGGTGCTGACACCAGGTTTTGAATGGGCTGAGTGGTTTAAAGTCAGTGTTCTGATCTGCAGGGCTGTATTAAAGTGCCTTCAGGTGTTGCAGAACTTGAACACATCCCTTTCTGAGGGGTAATCCTGGGAACCTGGGCTATGCAGAAACACAGAAGGGCTGGTGCTGTGGTTCTTGCCTTTCCCAGGGCTAAATTTCATCTTGCTCTTACATTTGCATTCATGGTAGAACTGTACAGATTAATGACTGTTCAGCAATAAGGATTGAAAGCAATGCCTCCTCATAGCTCGAGTCTTGAAAGAATGACTCATTCTAGAAGGAGACTGACAGCATCTGTCAAAGCACAGACACACATTGTAGCCTTTTCCCACAGTTAAGCAGGTTCACATTTGAACATTTAGCATGGCCTCTAAATTTTTCACTTGCTTCTCAGAAAAAGGATTCAATCTAATTTTGATATTTTTATACAGCAGCAATCCTCTTTTCATTTCAAGAATCTGCTCTTTTTATTCCTGTGACTAATTGTTCATCGACTCCTTGTTGACAAATGCCAGTTAGTGTGGTTGGTGGGAGGAATTCAAGGAAACTATGAATTACGGCTTGTCTCTTGTTGGCTCTTCACTCTGCAGTCCATCTGGTAGACAAAATTCCTCAGTGTAGTGTGCCGAGGGATGAGAATGCCTTTGTCCTGGGCAGCACCACAACCACTTCAAGGCACACACATGGCATGTGGGGCTCCCTGCTCTGAGCCACTGCAGACACCACAGGAGAGAAGGGCTGAAGACCATTTGTGGAACAAAAGCATTTGCCTGCACTGTAATCTGAATTCAGCCTAATTAGGTAACTTGGTTGGAGGTGACTGAAAAGAAGTAATAGCGCTCCTAAAGATACTAAGCCTCTTGCCCTGTACCAGGGTCATACCCTTGATTATCAGGAATGCAACAAGCTGAGCTTCATCCCCAGGCATGTTTCTGTATCCTTTGCCTGTTTTCCCACTACTGGAAAAAACTTGCAAAGGCCTTCTAATTGTTGTTACAAACACAACAGCAACAGCTCCCTTGTGCACTGGTAAAATGTGTTGATGCCACCTATTTCAGTGGGAGTTTCTTGGAATGAACCTTGCCCTCCAGTTTGTCTTCACAAATCTAATTGATGGAAAAAGTCTGTTTGTGGACTGTTATTTTTTTTTTTTAAGGATGGTCAGGGTCTCTAAAGAAATCTTCTTGTGCTGCCTTGCAAAAGCAGGACAGCAGTGCTGTGAGAAGGGACATGAGCAGGAGCTCCTGTCACCCTGCAGCAATGCCATCTAAAGGGCACAAGGTCGTGTGGTTGTAGGAGGAAAACTAAAGGAATTAAAAATAATAAAAAGGCTCAAACCACTCCTGTCTACTAATGCCTGTCTTGGGATCTCTAATGGCTATATGGGGTGTTAGCTTCATGGGCTTCCAACTTCGTACCACAAAATTGAAGTAGAGGCCTTGCAGGCATTTCATGAGCTACTGACTCAAATGAAAGTATATAAAATTTTTTTTTTTTTTAATCATAAGGGTTTTTCTCTCATATGTTTCTCATCCCCCAGGTACAATATATTTAATATAAAACTAGACAACAACATGCAGAAGTGCCCAAAGGTTGGTGCTGAATGCTGTCCTGTGTTCTGGCAGAACTTATGTCCCCCGACATGTTCAGGTCAGGCTGGTACACTTGCACACGATATGCTCTGAAAAACTGTTGTGCTGTGCCTTTGGTGCATGTAATAACACTGTGTATTTTTTACATAATTATGTTCTGTGTAGTATTTTGCTATATCCCATTTGAATTATTTTAATCATTCAATACACATACTGACGAAATTCTCTTTACGGTTGTCTTAAAATTTAGAGAGGCTTTGCTCTTTCTAGTGGATCCTACCATAGTATTAAATATGAAAGACACGAATCCCACCAGTATGTCTATGTTACCAATCAATGAGAAGATCATTTGCACTATTTTTTTAAAGAAGAGACCATATTGCATCTGTCTCTCAGAAATGCCAAATACCATTTCGTAAGGAGACATTATTTCTAATTATGTGTTCATCTTGGGCCACTGTTTTTTTGTGACCTTTATTTGAACTGACACATCAGTGAAAAGAGCAGCCAGCCACTGAAGAAAGAGTGGATAATTCTCTCTGCCTGCCTGCTTTAGTGAGGACACGTTTACCAGGTGCCTCATGAGAGATTCGAGATATGTGATTATTAATTAATGTTTTTGGTTCATTTCCCCTCAGGTTTTTATAAGTGAAAATAGAAGTGCTTCTCCCAGGTTTACCAAATTAGAATCAGAACTTCAGCTCTGAATGCTGGGAGAAAGAAAACCCCATTCTGTCATCACTGAAGATGTGATTGCTGTGCGAAGAGCCCTGTAATCCAGGAACAACTTGTGAACGTGGGAGAGGAAACGACCACTCAGCCATGCATGCTGTACTTATATGACATTTCTTCAAGATGTGAAAGATATTAAGAAGAACTATCTGCTGAATAAAAAGAAATAAATTGAAAACAAAGCTCTTACATTGTATGGAATGCAGTGAAGCTGCATAGACCACCCTTTTCAAGGAGTGGGGAGGATTAGGAGGCAGCGCTTCTACAGCACCCAACCTGTTCTGCATGCTGGGATTTAAATATTCTGGTAAGAAAAAGGGGGAAAAAATAAATCTGCAAGATGTTGTGGGTTAGGCTGTCCCTGTTCTGATTACAGTACCGTGGCTTAGACTTTTTCATGTTGATCTGCCTTCTCTTCATCCCTTGTCTGGAGGACTCACAGTGGGAGGGGGGATTTCAGACAAATGCTGTCCTTATGCTACAGTCCTCAGTGGTTTTTGGATAACATCTAAAGGAGGACCTTGCTGACATGTTAACTTGATGGAAACCCTGAGACGAGTTTCCCAGGCAACAAGGAAATGGTTGCACTGATTTCCACTCACTAAACGCAAACCAGCTATTTAACGGATGACTAAAATGGAACAAATATTTTAAATTCTTAAATACCACTGAGAAGAAACTAATTATGTAAAGTAAAAAGGCAAATTAGCATAAAATTTAGAAAAGAAGATATTTACATTTTATATCAGAAACATAGTCTCAGGCCAACATATAGGGCTGTGCCTAAAAGTGATCACAAGTCAGGACTTCCGCTGCAGGGGAAGCTGAAGAGCTTGAAATTCTGTTTTAGCACAATTAACAGATTTTTTTTTCTATTTCTGCGTTGGCAGGAAAATACCAGAGACACTCAACTCATTTTGTCTTGAAAACTGTGAAGGAAGATGATAGTTGTAGGTACCAGGAATGGGCTCTCATTGAAATACAGTCCCAGCGTTTCTCAGCTGAGAGTTTCCTGCTCATTCTGTGCAGTCTGTGGGAACCAGGGCACAGGGGCAATGTAAAGTTGGAGCTGCAGATGCCAGGGCCTGCAGCTGCCTCTGCTCAGGGTCAGCCCATAGCACACGGCTGCCTCAGGGCCCCCAGGGGCCCAGGAAGCCCCAGGTGCAAATGTGTCTGCGTTGCACAGCTCGGATTCTGGGCACACAGAGAAGCCTGTGGTCCTGAAGCTCTGCAGGTGAACTGGTGGGAAGACTGAGTTTGGACTGCAGTTCATCCAAGGTTCATCAAACCAGGTACATTTTTACAAAGTGGATTGATTTTGAAAGATAAACCACTCTGGACTAAAAAAAGAAAAACAAGATAAAGAAATTGTTGGAGAGCTCTCAGCTGGGTCCTTGCCTGTGGTCTTATTTGCTGGAAACAGAGGAGGCCAAAAGAGTTCAGAACACCAACACATCCATGGATTAACATCAAGATGTTTCAACCAATCTCCAGAGGCCTGCTGGTGTCACCATCTGAGCCATCTACACAGCTTATTCACTCCTTCCAGAGCACAGTGCTGCACTGCCCCATGCCCACAACATGGCAGCAGTGTCTGCCTTGCGCCCACAACATGGCAGCAGCTGTTGCTCCATGCCCACAACATGACAATTATGGTTGCTCCGCACTCACAACATGGTGGCAGTGGTTGCCCCAAGCCCACAGCATGGCAGCTGCAGCTTCCCTGTGCCCACAACATGGCGGCTGCAGTTTCCCTGTGCCCACAACATGGCGGCAATGGCTGCCCCACACCCACAACATGGCGGCAGTAGCTACCCTGCTCCCCCCTGGCTCGAGCTGACTGCTGATCAGAAACACTGGAAGATAGCCATGCTGTCAACGCAGCCATCACAGAAGCTCTCTCCTCCCGCAGATGACAGGTTGGATGACTGCATTTCTTCAAGGCCTGAGTGCACCTGGGCTCGCAGCTCATTTTGAGGCATGGCACTGACTGCTGAGTGCTCCTGAACAGCCTCTTTCAGAACAGAGCTCTCTCGGATTTCAAGTAGACAATGTGCTGGATGGGTTGCCACATGCCAACATCTGACAGTACAGGGAATTTGGAAGAGAAGCTGGGGTTATACTGTAGTGATGGAGTCAATGGACTATTGGTAATTTTTAGAGTGAAAAAAAGTGGGAGGAAAACTAGCTCACAAAAAGCAATAGTTGGCAATTAATGAAAACCAGCTTTGCTCTTTGAAGACTTCACAGATGCAGGGATGGGACAAATGCTTTTTGGTCGAGGTTCGGCAGGTTCAAGGGGGTCACATAGTTCACAGCACAGCATTGGCCCGAGCTGCCGGGTGCGAGTCGACAGCTTTGATCTCCTGTGCTCCTCCCAGTTGGCTGCTGCTGTGTCAGAAATGCCTCTGTTGTTCGTGGGGATGGGAACGTGATAAATAATTTCAGTGCACACTGAATGCAAAGCATCAGTGCTTTCCTGGCTCCAGAAACGGCTGCATGGTAAATCTTTTCCTGTAGCCAACCTCATTCCGAGACATCATACTCCTCCTAGCTCTTGCTTCCCATATACCAGATGAAGAAATAAGCAGGAACAAGCCCAGTGACCTCAGTCAAGCTGTGTTAAATCTTTTGCAGCCACAAAACATTTCCTCTGGCTGCCTGAACTGTAAGCAGACACCTGTGAGTTATGATTCTTTGTGGCTCAACCGAAGGATAGACAACGAGACCACTACTGCCACTTGGGAAAACCCATTGAACATTTACGGGAATGCAGAAAACATTCCTACAGTAACATGGGTGGGAAGAGAGCTGTGCCTTTGAATCTCACCCCCAGCAGGAGCTTCTCAGCCCAGCAGGAGCATGGGGATTTCTGACACCAGGAGCAGATGCAAATGGCTGTAGGGCTTTACATCCCCACTGCAGTATGATTTTTGCCTGTGGAAAGCAGGCCTATAGCATGGCTGTCTGTGTCTCCATGCCATGTTCCTGCTTAACAAATCTCCCAGTTCTTAGCACCCAAGTGAAAAGTAAATGGGGGAGCATGAGTTTGGGTGATATGACACAGTATGTGTTGCCTATACAAAGCATCCTCATCTGTGAAGCCAGCAGGATCTTGGGTACCTGCAAACTATTAATTTCCTGTGTAAGGACAGCATGAAGCATGAAGGGAGAAACCCAACGTTTTTGAAATCCAGTTCTAGGTTTATTTACACTTGGCTGAAATTTCTTTCTGTTGCACAACAGCACAGTGAGCTGTGCTGGTAGAGATGGGATAAAGATGGAGCAATTTTTTATTTAGCTGTACAGGAGCAGAATAAACTACATATACTTTCCCCTCACATGTGGATTTATGTGAAATATTGACACAATTATGTCCATCTATCGAGGTGACAGCAGCTTTTTTTTGGATACTGTTCTAAAATACAACTGTTTACTGATTTGTCATCTTTTCTCTTAGAACAAAGGAGGGATGATCTTGTTTTTTCACCTCTTGGATCTATTTAAGTAATCTCATCCCCTCATTGGTGAATACAATGAGGTGTGATTTTCATATATTTATACATGTATACATACAGCTAGCAGAGTGGCCCTTATCCTATGGGAGCAATGTCACCAGCTGATACAGTAAATTATTATTATTTTTAATACTAGTTTTCTTTCCATAAAAGGTAGAAAGACTCAGCATACTTTCCTGTATACTTTTTCCTGTATTATGGAAAGGGACTAATTGCTCAGGGTTTTACATATAGTTTACAAAACTGTTCCAATTGCAACCAGTACAGCCAAGCAAAATATTTGCCTATTTACTGCTCGGACAGTCTGGCAGTTGGAAGAGGGCAGGTGCCAGCACAGCTGTAGCATTTACCTTTGTAAATGATAAGGGTTTGAAAGATGATTGTGTTCATTAAACGTCTGCAGTCAGGTGGAGGCAGCCAGAAGCACTGAGAATAGGGGGCTGGGGATTAGAGCAGTAAGTGCCCAAGAGACTTACTGTAGTTAACTTTGTTAGAAACAGAGAAAGCAAAAATCAAAATGCAGGCTGTTGTGTGGCAGATAAAGTTCTGGGAGGTGCTGCAGAGACTGGAAAGTGAGACTGGGACCAAAGAAGGGAAATGGGGGAACTGGATGAAGCTCTGAGTTTGCTCTGTTAAAGCTTTTGCCTTTTATCCAGTCAGTTCAAGTTACTGTGGAGAATCTAGCAGTGACTCTGCAAATCCACCTAAATAATGTGAATTTTACTTAGAAATACTTCTTTTTTCCCTCGCTAAGAGACACATATTTTTAAAAAAATTAGTTTTGAAGGTCCAACCTCAGGCATTGCTGCAGACCCTGCCCTCCCTCCTCTCCCTCCCAAGAGCTGCAGGAGGCAGAGCTCTGCATGGTTTTCATTAGGCAGAAGGATGAAGTGAGTTTTTTCTACAGCTCTTTATTGCTAGGATTTGACAAGGAAGGAGGGAGCCCAGCTTGCCTTGCCTTTGGTTTCATACCCTTAGCAATAAATAAATAATAAAAAAATTCACCCTGCGAACTGTGCACAACACGTTATCATTTCCCATGGATTTCCAGATCATTAGGAAACCATGCCAGGCCAGCTTCCCATTGCATTGCAGAGTGGAATTGTGCTGGGAAGGAGAGGTCACTGAGGCGAGTTCCAGCTGCAGAGTGGAGCAGCACGGAGGGCACGTAGCTGGTCCTGCCCCAACCACACCTCTTGTGTCTGTCATCTCCAGCTCTGCCACAAAGCAGGCTCAGGGAGATCAATCTGAAGTATTGCTTGGAAAGAGCCTTAGAAATTTGCCAACACCTTTCAAAGGGCCCCAGTCTGTCCATTCTTGAAAACATGCATGCAAGATTGTACAGGCACTGCTGCTGTCCTGGCCACAAAATTTAGCAGCTGTTGGTGATGGCTGTGAAGAAAGGAGGCTGCTGCTTACCTGGAGGTGATCAGTTACTGACTGTCTCTGTGATAATGCATGCTAAGTAATAGTTCTTTTCTGGTTACTACTTCAAAGAGGGGATATTGGGCTTCTGAAGCATCTTCTGCCCTTCTCCTGGTAACAACCTTCAGATTTGCACACGCTGTAACCCAACCACAGTTAACTTTTTGGTGAGAGGCAGTGCAGATCTGACAAACGCTACTGGGCGAGTCAAAAAGTATCAACTTGCAAAAGCAAGACAAAACATGCAATTCATTAAGCCACACCATATGATCATCTGAGTTCCAAGAACTCTTCAACTCCAGAAAGCACTGGTTAGGAAGAGGCTTTTAGCTAAGCAGAAATCCCGTGGTTGTCAGCAGAAGAAAGCAAGGCTGCAACCTCTCTGCTCCGTGCTGCTGTCAGCCGGTGCTGGGATCTGCTGCAGGCACAATGCGAGCAGGCTGGTGCACGGCTTTCTGGCTGCTTTGTGGGGAGTGTTTCCTTGCAAACTCCACATTAATGCAAATAACTTGTTTGAGTGTGTTTCAGAAGCCTGCAGCAAGGGTGTGTGTGTGTGTGTGTGAAAGGTGCCCCATCAGCCCCCCTGTTTGCACCTTGGTGATCCCAGGGCTGCAGCGGATGGCTACCGGTCGCTTCCAGTGCTCTGTGGGCAGTTTGTGAAATTAGGTGTTTGGAAAAACTCGATAATATGAAAGTATACTGGAACATTTCTTGGATCAGACTTTAGCATTACTCATGCGTCATTAATTCTCAAAATATTAAGGGAACATTTCTTCGTATTGGGCCCTATTCCGTTAAAGAGATACAAAGCATCTTGCTTGATCTGAGCCATGATGCAACACACACCAAGCCAATCCCCCACACAAGGACAGGCAGGAAACCAAAGCTGGGGCAGAAAAAAGTTGTGGGGCCTAAGTTCATGGGGAAATGTGGGTTTTCTACTATGCACTGTGGCGTGTCCATGTTTTATTACTCCAGAATCGCTAGGTCTCATAGTGAATGCTTGTATTACACAGTCTTTTCTGTTGTCACAGCAGACAATTTCAGCTGCATTTGGCATTCCTTTAATAACTAAGACCACTACTAACTTTGCCTGCATGTCTGAGTATGACGAGAACGCAGCCTCAGTACTGATGGTATTGGGACTGCAGCTGCATTCATTAAATCCGTTTTTCAGTTTCTGCCATTCCAGCAGATTCTGCTCTGTTCCAGACTTAGCACTGCCCTGGCATTTTTGCTGCATTTGTTTCTGATGTGCCAGAAGTACAAACAAAATGTTGAGTGAGTCTTGTTTCTGACCTTCTCTCTACTGGTATATAATTACTGTACCTACTACTTAACTGCTTGTATCCCAGTTCCTGTGAAACCAATAGTTGTGCACAACTCTTTGCAACTGGAAAAATTTGCAGCGTGTCAGCAACAAACTACTAAATTGAATAATTTTTCTGGACAGGTGATGCTGTTCCCTGCATTTTAATTTTGGCTTTGGGGGGGCTGGAGCATGATGTTGGCAGGATAGATGGGCAGCTCACAGACTGCACCTGCCTTTTTATCGCTTTCCAGACCCTCCATCCTGTAACTCCTGAGCTCTTAATCTCTACTGGGTGACCTGGCTGCCAGGGTGACATTTTTGATGACAGGCTGACTGGCAACTAGCTCACACTCTTACTTTACTATATATAAAGTGTTATAGTTCATGGCTTTCTCCACTAATGATCCTTTACAGATGGTTTGTAAGTATGTAGATACTGTTTGAAATTAAAGTCCAAGTGGACACGGAAGGCTGCAGAAATGGCAAGGGCCACGTGTGCAATTAGAGGAAGTCAGGTAACAATGAGGAACGTGATGCCCAGGCTGGCAGGAGGAGGAGCCTTGTGGTACACATGTCCTGCCCAGCACTGCCTGGCTCCCACTGCACCCCACAGAGAGTAGAGCACTTCTGCCTCTGGGATCTCTTTAGGACCATTGATTTATGCAAAACCAAAATCCCTCTAAAGATATGTTTGGATTTCTGCTTTATCTTTTGGAGCTAAATAGAATTTGCTCTCTCAGCATCCTCCTAATTTCCATGGAACAGCTCCATAGGGGTTGGACACAAGCTTCTGCCAGCTCCAACTCCCCGAGCTCCAATGGGGCCTCTGGTTTGGAAGATGCAGATGCAGGAGGGAACGAGAAGCAAAGCTAGGTGGATATGCAGGTAATCCCTGGGCCCTGGGGACATTCATTCTCCAGCAGACAGAATTTGCATGTAAGAGTTGACCAGCTTCCCCTTCTCTTGCATACAGAGTGGTTTATCTTGGAAAGATTTTTTTTTTTCTATTTTAATGGAATTATTTTAGATATTCATGCTGGCTATACACATAAATTTGAAATGAAACACTGTATTTGCTTTTAGAAGGTGATTATTCTTTGTCACAGAACTGATTTCTTGAAGCAAAACCATTTTTTATTTAACCCTTCTCACATGTTATTTCTCTTTCTACAATGTGAAAAGTAGTTCACAGAAATTAGACCCTTGTGTATAATGCAAAAGGCGGGCTTTAAATAAGAAAGTACTTTTGACAGACCGTAGGGTGAAATTTGCTAAGGTGAGCTCTGAGGAGATGCAGTTCTGGGAAGCAGAGCGGAGGCAGGTGAGCTGATTTCCAGTGCTGGGATCTTCCTGAGCTTGAAAACAAGCCCTGTATCACTGCTACCTGCTTCACTTTTAAAGCTGGTCAGTGTCGATGGAATAATAGCAAGATAAAGCACGAGTCTTTATGAAATCTGAAGAGAGGAAAGGCCGCTTGATAAGCTAGAAATTCAATCGCTTTATTTTTCAACAATTGTCTCATCTCTGGCACATCAGGTGGGTGTCAGCATTTTCAAGTTGTTAGCACTGCGGGGAATCGTGATGCAGAAAAGCCTCAGCATGACACCAGCCTCAGCAGCAACACGTGGGGCTGAAGGACTGCGGGCACCACGTGGTGTGAGAAGGGAACCGCAGTCCTGCAACAGTCAGGCATCGCCTATGGTGGGAGGAAGTGGGGAGAAGAAGCACAAATGATGATGGAAGCAGTGACATAAATGTCACAAGGGAGGCGAAAACTGCTTTCTTATTTTTGTCGATTGAACTAGAGTGAAAATTGGGATATGCTCAGAGTGGTTTTGCAGAAGGTCTGTGGTTATGAACTACTGGGCTTGATGCAACGGTAACACTTGGTAAGTGGTGCATTTCCTAGACATGAGATCTTAGCTGGGAGCGTTAAATAGCTGCTGTAGTCCTTCCTTAGCAAAGACAGCTGCTTCATTTTTCTCAGAAGCTTTTCCAAGCAGCCAGACTTTCTTCCCACTCTCTCTCCGAGGGGCTCACAGACTGCTGAATGTCTTTTCAGTGTCTTAGGAGCTGACTTAGTTGTTTAACGATTTTACATTTATAAACATATGTGCAAATTTTTCCTTCAGGGATGCGAAAAGGTGAAAGATGTCAAATTACACTATTCAGTTTAAAGGGATGCTCCCAGTGAACTCTCTGTGGAGATTAGGTTGCCTGCACAGACTTCTAAGGAACTCTGTGGTGGAGCTAAAATGGAAGCTAGAGATAGCTGTTGGACCTACACAATAACTGTCCTCCCATAGTGGAGGTTGCCTTGGGTTGCAAGGAGGGGTCT